TGTGTGTTCTAAGCAATAAGGCGGTTATCGAATGCACAGAACAACCTTCCAATGGGTACGGGAATTCGGTTGAATTGCCCGAAAGAAAAGCAAACTGACTCGTGATCCATGGAAATGCAATTTGTGATTTAATTTTAATGCATCTATTTTACGTGTTTTAAAAACAAATTTACATTCAGCGAAATAAAAATACTTTGGAAGCACAAAAAATAGCAGCAGAGTACGTTGGAAAATCACACGAAAGTCTTTGTTGATGTCAGGGCGCATTGAGCAGAGAAACCACGTATAGCTCACTACATGTACACAACTGACATGTCTAGTTCCTCTCCCAATATGTACATATACATTGCAAAGAATAGAGACTGCGAGCCAGACTAATGCCTGAGATTCCCCAGCAACAACAGAAAATGGGCAGCACTGTAATACAGGTACCAGTACGTGAAACTTTTCTGAGCACCAAGTCGATGTCAGGAACACAAGATTTTGTATATACAATATACATTGTATTTTTAGAAGGGGGACCAACGCTGACAGGAAAGATGGGGCACATTGCCAAGCACAGCCACTGAGCCTTCCCTGTTCCCCCCAAACCCAATGTCAGGTCAGTGGCTTTGGTTGTTGAATGACAGTAAATGAGGTAATCTTTTCGGGCGGTCGAGTCGCGCCAATAACTAATCTTCAAAGCCCGCTGAGGCAAGCTGAGCAGCTTAAGCGTGGGGCACTTTAGTAACATAACAACGCCACTAAAACAATAGCTTATCCCTAATGAGCTGTGGCCTGAGCTAGAACGCCGCACCACGCCGCACTCACTTAGATCGTCCGGGGGATAATAATCCGCCGGAAAGTCGCAGTCTTGCACCGCGGCGCGCCAATTAACTGAATTTGGACGCCGCCCCTTAGAACAAGTTGGACTGATGAATTTGGTTAACGACAGTTTAATTAACATCACCTGAATGATGGATGGTTTGGAACATCTAGTCAATGGACGAAATTCCAGACTTCAATGCCCCTTCCAAAAGTTTTCCACAAATCTGAATTAGAAAGAAAAGATCCAGATTTAATACTTTTACTAGCGACAACAAAAGAATCAACAGATTTTTATATAGGATTGGTCAAATGAAAGCAGAGCAGGACGGAATGATTGCACAGATCCATCAATCACACCAAAGCATTGTCTGTACATGTACAACACGGTTGTGCAATCAGCCAAGGCCTCCGAAAAATGAAACATACAACATGAGACAGTGTGAAGGTTGACGTCCAAGAAAGTGATATTCCCTGACTCAAGACTAACTTTTGCTCTTTGTCCCAAGTAGATACTAGAGTGCTTGAGAAAAAAGCAAGCTAGGGTTGATGCAGAAGTGGTCTTTTGAGAATCATAAGGCCGCTTCAAATACTTCGGGTAAATGCAACAGCAAAGTAAATCAGATACTAAGAACAGAGACATCACTACAAGCCCCCCCCCCAAAAAAACTACAGAGAAAAAGAAAAAAACAGGGGTGTGTAATAGTCCATCTTGGTCTGGGTCAGTGTGAACTCTGACCAAACCCCACTGTGTGTTCTCCTCTGGAAAATAAGGGCATCCAAAGTGCCCCAGCTGCAAAGTTAACCCCACTCACGCCAGTATTGTAAAAGTGAAAATTCTCACCTAGCTGTTACCCTCAACTTGCAGACTGCACTTCAGTGATGTGTCTTGATTCCAACAGGTGCCCTATGGTGTCAGCGTCAGGACATTCACAAGTACTGCAGGCAGAAAGGTAGACAAGTCAGGATACTCAATCATGTCACACGAGTCAGGCATCAGCGCTGTGAATGTAACAAGAAATTCAACACATGGACATTAACCTTTGCTGGGCAGAAGAATCATACACTTGAGCCTGGTATTACCAAGGCTCAAAATATCCCACCGAGTCCAATTTCCCCCTGTGACTCCGACTGAAGAGACAGGAAAGCTTGATGCTGCCGTGTTGTGGAACACGTTGTGAATGTTGTCCCAAGAGTACGTGCAATCTGAAGTAAAATGAAAACGTGAACCTTAGATTAGTGGGGGAGGATTTATCTAGTTCAACTGGTACCATACATTGTACAATCGACTCTCGTTATTACGAAATCCACGGGACCAAGTAGAATTGTTCGTTGTATCCAAAATCCGTTGTAGGCGGAACGCAGTGCAATGGCTTCCGTGTATTGCATGAACAGGTCCATTGTGTACACTGCCATGCAAGGTATATGTACATGCATACGTGTGAACCTGGTTGATATTCAAAAAGATCTCTCGGATAAATCAAATACATTGTGTTTAGAATAATAAGCTTCACTGTCATATGACAACATGTTCAATTAAAAAAAACAAATACATGTGAAAGCATCGATCCAGGGATTTTTTAGGACTTTCGATCACCATGGATGACGACAAAGCTAACAGTAACTCAACGGCATGTAGGCCTGTGCACGTGTACCTGCAAGAATGTGAAGACTCATCAATTGGAGCCCCCATCCATGTATAAGTAGTCTTTCTAACACAATTGTGTCATGGAGAGATCTTTTCATTTAATTTTCCATTTGTCTTTGATTTTCGACTCTAGCTGCATGACATGATTGGCAACGGTTCGGCCCAAAAGAAACCGGTGTGGTACACTGCACACGCATTTTCACCAACGCAATTCACGAACGCTCATTATAAGTGGGTGGTTGACTTTGATGATTCAGCCAACGGATTCACAATAATCTTTCACACAGATTTGTGTTTGTTATACGGTAACTGGAATTTTGTTACGGCCGATTTTGTAATAACGAGAGTGGAGTTTTTCTGAAAGGTTGTCACAAAGGATGGTAACACGTCCCATGGTTTGCTTTGGGGATGGTCTCTCTGTTGAACAAATGACAGATACAACACAATTAGGAACTGGTGAAGAAATTGCTTACGGTAGATTGAAAGATTTGAAACAGTGCCCTCAAGAATTCCACGGATGGTGCTGCCTTATTTGAGATTTCACAACCTGTTTCTTCCAAGGTTCAAGGGTTCCTGTGCAAATGACAGGGATAAACTGTTTCGACTTTATTTTTGCCCCAGGTCAGCAAAGAAAAAGTTGAACAATTCCAACCATGAGGACCTAGTTGAGTTGACAACACACGCACAGCACACTGTCGGTGGTGTAAGCTCCAAGTGGGCATCTCGGTAAAGCAAGCGACGACACACCTGTAGATTTTCCTTCCCCAGATAATTCATCGGAACTGCAAAGAAAAATGGTTTGAGACTTTAGCGTAAAGACGCAGTGGAGGTTATTTGGCCTGACATTCCAACTGAGGGGGTCACCATTGTCTGCAGCCAGCAAGGTGACACTGAGTTGAACAAGTTAGGAGCATGGTTGGTACATGACCTATGTGTACCACTACAGTTGCATCAATGAAGATTGTTTCAAGTGTGAAACTACAAATTCCCACAACACGGCACCTGCCGCTAGAAGACTGGTGACTCATGATATGATCTAATACAGGGCTTCCCCTGCCCATTCAAATGTAAAGCATCCCATCTCACTCATTTTCATGACCATACACCTGTAAGCGGTTAATTTTTGGCCAATGCTAGCACCTTGCACAAAAAAAATGAAAATCAAAGATTTAAAGAGAAAATAAACAACCCCGGTCTGAGGATGTCCTGAGTGGCAAAGAAGGTCACGAATGCGAGACTTGAGGAAATGAAATTAGAGTGAATGTTCACAGAGCCATAACAAGAAATTGATTCCAGTCACCTTGATCATGGTAATTCATTTCTATATCTTTCACAATTTAGAACTATACTGGGCCAGAAATAAAGGAAAGACAAGCTTGCCTGGGCTTTGAATTGAACTGACTTGGGTGGAGCTCTTTAATGTCACAGAAGTTAACATTCTGGTGGTCACAAAAGGAAAGTGTGGTTATTGGAGAGGCAAAATGGATTGGCTTTATCAAGGTAGACCTACATGTACATGTATGAGACATCTTCNGATATCCCAATTTCCCCCTGTGACCCCGACTGGAGAGACAGGAAAGCTACACTGTAGATGCTGCTGTGTTGTGGAACACGTTGTGAATGTTGTCCCAAGTGTACATGCAATCTGAAGTAAAGTGAAAACGTGAACCTTAGATTAGTGGGGGAGGATTCATCTAGTTCAACTGGTACCATACATCGTACAATCGACTCTCGTTATTACGAAATCCACGGGACCAAGTAGAATTGTTCGTTGTATCCAAAATCCGTTGTAGGCAGAACGCAGTGCAGTGGCTTCCGTGTATTGCATTAATAGGTCCATTGTGTACAATGCCATGCAGAGTACATGTACATGCATGAGCGTGAACCTGGTTGATGTTCAAAAAGATCTCTCAGATAAATCAAATACATTGTGTTTAGAATAATAAACTTCACTGTCATATGACAACATGTTCAATTAATGTGCATGTGAGATTAAAAAAACAAACAAATACATGTTAAAGCATCGATCCAGGGCTTTTTTAGGACTTTCGATCGCCATGGATGACGACAAAGCTAACAGTAACTCAACGGCATGTAGGCCTGTGCACGTGTACCTGCAAGAATGTGAAGACTCATCAATTGGAGCCCCCATCCATGTATAAGTAGTCTTTCTAGCACAAATTGTGTCATGGAGAGATCTTTTCATTTAATTTTCCATTTGTCTTTGATTTTTGACTCTAGCTGCATGACATGATTGGCAACCGTTCGGCCCAGCATAAGCCAGTGTGGTGCACTGCACACGTGTTTTCACCACCGCAATTCACGAACGCTCATTATAAGTGGGTGGTTGACTGTGACAATTCAGCCAATGGATTCACAATAATCTTTCGTTGTAACAGGAATTTAGTGCAAAGCAATGTGCACGTTTTCGCTGGGACCACAGATTTGTGTTTGTTATACGGTAACTGGAATTTTGTTACGGCCGATTTTGTAATAACGAGAGAGGAGTGTTGTGAAAGGTTGTCACAAAGGATGGTAACACGTCCCATGGCTTGCTTTGGGGATGGTCTTTCCGTTGAACAAATGACAGATACAACACGATAAGGAGCTGGTGAAGAAATTGCTTACGATAGATTTAAAGATTTGAAACAGTGCCCTCAAGAATTCCACGGATGGTGCTGCCTTATTTGAGATTTCACAACCTGTTTCTTCCAAGGTTCAAGGGTTCCTGTGCAAATGACAGGGTTAAACTGGTTCGGCTTTAGCCGGATTTTTTCCCCAGGTCAGCAAAGAAAAAGTTGAACATTTCAACCATGACGACCTAGTTGAGTTGACAACACACGCACAGCACACTGTCGGTGGTGTAAGCTCCAAGTACGCATCTCGGTAAAGCAAGCGACGACACACCTGTAGATTTTCCTTCCTCAGATAATTCATCGGAACTGCAAAGAAAAATGGTTTGAGACTTTAGCGTAAAGACGCAGTGGAGGTTCTTTGGCCTGACATTCCAACTGAAGGGGTCACCATTGTCTGCAGCCAGCAAAGTGACACTGAGTTGAACAAGTTAGGAGCATGGTTGGTACATGACCTATGTGTACCACTACAGTTGCATCAATGAAGATTGTTTCAAGTGTGAAACTACAAATTCCCACAACACGGCACCTGCCGCTAGAAGACTGGTGACTCGTGATATGATCTAATACAGGGTTTCCCCTGCCCATTCAAATGTAAAGCATCCAATCTCACTCATTTTCATGACCATACACCTGTAAGCGGTTAATTTTTGGTCAATACTAGCACCTTGCACAAAAAAAATTAAAATCAAAGATTTAAAGGGAAAATAAACGACTCCAGTCTGAGATGTTCATGGAATGGTTCTCTTTCACACTGTCCTGAGTGGCAAAGAAGGTCACAAATGCAAGATTTGAGGGAATGAAATTAGAGTGAATGTTCAAAGAGCGATAACAAGAAATTGATTCCAGTCGCCTTGATCATGGTAATTCGTTTCTATATCTTTCACAGTTTAGAACTATACTGGGACAGAAATAAAGGAAAGAGAAGCTTGCCTTGGGCTTGACTAGAACTGACTTGGGTGGAGCTCTTTGATGTCACAGAAGTTAACATTCTGGTGGTCACAAAAGGAAAGTGTGGTTATTGGCTCCATCAAGGTAGACCTACATGTACATGTGTGAGACATCTTGTCCTCTGTATCAACAAAGCACAGGAAATACGAGGTGAAAGTTACGAGTTGAAGAAAAAGCAACTTTGCGAAGTTCCACTCGCCTGCTAAGTCAAGTCAAACTATGAAGCACGTCTGGTCAAATTTAAAGTCATTTTTGCTCAAATGAGAATCAATCACTTCATAAAATATGAAAGTGATGCGGATGAAATCCTAAAAGAAAACATATGGAACTTTTCCAAAATGCAACTCCTGTGGTTCAGTTCTGCAGCCATTTCATTCTCTCCCATTCCAAAACTGGTCTGGTCATCTTACCGTTATTATTTTATTTGTAATTATATCGGATATTGGATTTCTCAAAAAACCCAAAGCACAATAGCTCTGAAGCCTGAAGAAACCTGTAGAGAGGAGACGATGAGAAGCAGTTACAGGTTTAGAGGTTGAAGGAAAACTCCAGAGGAATATTCTGGGTAAAACCCACAGGACTGAAAGCCTAATCCACATGTACATGTAGACCAAGCCAGGAATCAAACCTGGACCGCAGACATGAAAGGTGAGGAAAGAACATGGCAATTCATCATTTATATTGCTTTGATCCGTGTACATGTATGTAAATGTATGTATGTAAATTGGTTTCTATCAATCACTACCTAATGTAATGTATGAAAGTGCACACACCACTAAAAACACTACATCTACATGTATTTCATCGATTCTGCTAATCTGAACACACTGAGAATGACTTACCACTATACCAGTGTTGACAGACCCTAGTCATGCATTATTCAGTTCAGCCCCTGGGGTGGTTCCTACACAGCCTTGTTCTCAGGTTGACTGCATCATCAGCCTGAGATGAGCTCCTTGTACACCTCTTCTTCAGTATCGGGGCACGGAAACACAAGGGAAATTCTTCCTGCCAGGGTTGCTATGAGAAACCAATCAATGTCATCAAGTTCAGTCAACTTTATTTCAATGTTAAAAAAATGAACACAAAGTCTTAACGACACACCTATGATTGTTGTCATCCTTAAAAGTCATTAGGTGGAAGTAACATCCCATGACCCCCGTTGGCTTGAGTGTCTATAAATAAAATCTTCCATTTTTGTTTCCTGACAAGATTTGCCTTGTGATTATACAATGCAGCCAAAAATGCACGTTAAGGCCTAAAGAGAAAAGTCTTCAGTTTCTGGTCAGGGACTGGCTCCAAAAGTGGTGCTGTAATGCCTTTATTTTGGCCCTAACTTTTCTTCCTAGCAATGTCCATCCACCGCGACTGCATACACAGGTACTGCCGCTACCAACACTTCATAGACTGGCTGCCTTGCTATTTACTGTTTAAAAGCGCTTCCAGGTAGTAGATGTACATAGGACATAAGATCATACGCTTGTTTGTCTGATTCCTAGGTGTAAATGTACAATAGAGAAATGACGTCATCTGAACAAGAATGCCCAACTAAATGTATGGGGGCCTAGAGAGACCCCTTTACTAAACCTACCCCATCAAAAAAAGATAAAATTACATGTACGCAGGATTCCAGTCAATAAAGCAATATTCACAGCTTTACGACATTGTATTATACCAAATCAAAACTTTATTTTGACAACGTGCAGGTCTACGGCGGCATGCGCGCTGACCAGAAACCAGAGATTTTCTTTTGGCCCAAGGGGAGTTCCCCGACAATAAATACATGTACCTAGGGAGAGGTAGTCACAATTGCAGTTTTGCCCTATATTTGCAAATTTCTGTATTTCAACACCCACACCATTGATACACATACATTGGCATGCAGGCTGTAGCTTGAACATAACAGAAGAGCACTGCACATGTGCATGTACAGTGCATGTCCTTACAAAGTTGGTGGTCCCCTCTGCAGTCAAAAATGGACAAAATGTACCAGTCAGTTTAGGCTGAGAGACGATTTTATAAGGGTGTCCCAAGTGTGGAATTAATCTCTTCTATAAGAACAGTGGTTCTGGCAGAGAGAAGGTTTGTGGGTACACCATGTGTAGAATCAATCTCTTCTGTAGGAATTCCCAAAATCCAACATTTTCCATTCTAGTAAGAAAACACTCACGTCTGTTTACTTACATTTGGGTCATTTTATGAAGTTCGGGCACAGTTTGTGACGGCGTCCCTTGTTACTTCGGTAAATTTTATTGCCCTTTATTTTCACATTACAAAAGATTAAGTCATATTATACAGCAAGGACGAAGCACACCACTACAAGAACTTAGCAAGATTTAGAGCAATGTCAATTTAGAATCCACATGCAGGGAAAAAAGATGTTTATTTTCACTGATGTAACAAGGGACGCCGTCACAAACTGTGAAAAAGTCGCACAAGTCACACCCTCCACGCCCACTGCATGTCCGCTCCATAAAAGGCTGCGTAGCACTAAGACTTGTCCTAGTCTCTCTGTTGATTTTTTTTTTAATAGGGACGGATGGTCAACAGAAGTGAGTGTTTTCTTACTAGAATGGAAAATCCCATTGGATTTTGGGAATTCTATTACAGAAAACATCTCACCTCTGTTTACATTTGCAGAGTAGCACCGTTAGGTAACAATTTGGGAAGGAAGGGGCATGCAGGGTAACGAAGGTCTAAACTGAGTCCATTCAAATATGAGAAAGGTTGTTTAGTAATACCCGGAAGCTGCCTATCTGGTTGTGAGAAATGGCAGCTCTCTGGGGTATACAGGCTGCTGATCAGCTGACCTGCTTGAGGGTTTTCCTGCTCAGAACACCCTCTGCTTGAACCATATCCTTCAGGTAGCATGAAGTGAAGGTGATTAGATTCTCCCAGCAGGCTTTTTTCGTTATACCTGAAACACAAACTCCAAGCTGGTGGGCCCAGGATGTTGATGTGCTGCTTGTCTCATGGGCGCCTGATTCTGATCCTCAATATCAAGAGGACTATAATATTACCTCTGATCTCAATTGAGCGATCGTGGTCACAGAGGCTGGGCGATGTAGTTGGATGGTCGTGATGAAAATCTGCTTGACGTCACCTCGTAAGGACTGCAAACGAGAAAAGAAATATGTCGAAGCTTGTAAGAAGGCACCACCATAAATCCTCCACCATTGTTCAAATCGCTGTCAACCTGGGATGAAGGTACATGAATCTCAGGAAAAGAAACCGGTTAAATGATCTGTGGTAAGAAACCCCACGTGTGGGATGAGGCATACACCGCTAGGTTCCTGGTAAAGGTGGTCCGGTTCTATGGACTAGACATAGAATTGGCCTCCTAGTGAAAATGTTCAGGCAGCCATCAGGAAACTGCTTTAACGGTTGGGTGATGAAGAGTACAAGCCTCTGTGTTGAATCAACGTGAGACTTGGAATACAAAGACAGAATGATGCCCTGATCCCTCCCCTAAATGTTTGAAGAGGAACATCACCGATGATAATTGTAGGTGAAAATGAAGAGTGGGAACCAATAGCCGCCGTCTTGTAGTACTTTGGAAAGTGGAGAAGTCAGCTACTGTAAGCCTGCCTGCTGGGCTCCACCTGACTTGAGCTACCCAGGCGGAATCTACTTCCAAAAGTTCAGTTCCTCTAAGGGAGACTATGACAGCATCCAATCACACTAATGAAGGCAGGCTGGATCCAGATAAGCCATTGGAGACTTGGGTTGATTCAGGAGGTCTCAGCAGCTGAGGAGCCTGACTGGAGAATGAATAAATTGTAAAGAGGGGAGGAGGGGGGAGCAGAGGGTAGAACTGGACATCAAATGATGCGACGAGTGACTCCCATCTAGAGGTTCTTTGAATGTGCCGTTTAATAACAGGGAGCGCGTAGGCAGTCTCCCAAGAAAAAAATATACAATTTCGACAAGGATTCAATTACATGTACCAGTATCTAAATAACATCAGAGAAGGTATCACATAAATGTCATTTGGCGCCTGACATAAGTCACCTCTGGGAAGCATCCCCGACTTTTTGTTGAATGAACTAGAACATCTTGTAAGATATAACTCAATTTACAGAAATGGGAAAGTAACGGCAATGTTGTGTAACAGGGAAAAATGACACACTATGGGGAATTCGCAAAACAACAAAAACTCTAACGAAAGCAAGGATCTTTGAAGGAAAAGTCGCAGGAAACTGAATTAATAAGGACTCAGACACCAATATTTGACTCCAAAAAAGGGACAACAAATAATTTATTAATGAAAAAGTACAGGAAAAATGCAAAAAACTAATCGGACTCAAGGACTAAAAAAACACGCAAAGACTAAAACTTTAAAAGACTCAAAACCAAAACCCAAACCCAACACAGTGCGTAAAATGGACCTAATGAGTTTACACTCAGACTTCAATCACTGACTTCTAGCAGAATAGGGCTCAAGCAGAAAAACCACACTCCAGTTAGGAGGAACAATACATAGGTACATGTGAAGGTGACTGGTCTCTGCTGATCTGCTACACTGAGTGTGACCAGACCATGTGGTAACTCTATTTGGGGGAAGCTAGGGCTTAAACAAATTAACAGGGGGGCACACTGATAGAAAAATAAAATCAAGAGCTCTGAACTAAAGTTAAACATTTTTAAAGGGGAAGTACTTCTATGTAAAAACGTGTACTTAATAACAAACATTTCTGGCTCTGCCACAGTTGTATCAGCAACACAATTGGCAAGTACATGTACCTTATAAAATTAGAAAACTCTATACGTACAAGAAAAGCTAAATAAGGTACGTGGAAATACCACAACACGCTTAACCAATTGGCTGGCACAGCCTGGCTACCGTAGCTAGATGAACATCAAATACTGGTTTTGTAAATCAGGTTCAATACCTACATGTATGACAAAATGAGCACACTTGTTACCATTCCCTGCGAGGTGCACAACAACAACTTTCCAACACCATGTGATCATAAAACAAAAGGTAAAAATGACCACTGTGTGAAGTAATTCACAAAGCTATCACTTGAACAATCTATGCAAATTTCAGTATATGAAGTGATTTATCTTATAGTGACATGCCTGGTTCACCATACATCTAGGAATGAAGAACTCTCAAACAGTAATAATAAGGACAGTGAGCAACGCTCAAAAGGTTTCCACACAAAGGAAATCGGTACCTAAATCATGGCACCACTCGGCTTCCGTAGTTTAGATTTCAACAGCTCCCAGCCGTCATAGTCGGCGATGAATATCATGAAATGCAATAATCGTTCACAACTACAACATGGTATCTTCCCCTTTTGTGAATAATTCACGATAACAATCCAAAGCTCTGTCAATTTCTGTGCTCCTTTGACACAGCATCACATCACCCATGACTAACGTAATTTGCCGTGCTATACAGGGCGACAAATAGAAAGAAAATAATCTATCCTTTGATCCTTTCACTGGTCCTACGGTTTACAATACTTATCATTTAACTGTTGAAAACATTTTAAAAAATGATTGGAAAATGTCTCGGTTAGGACAAGCAGGTCTTCGTCAGGGCTGGCAAAAAATGGCAGCTTGGCAGGCCTACAATCATGTGATCGACGTCAATGATTTTTGTCACCTAAGCCTAACTTTACCAAGGAATCAGGGCCAAAACTATCACTAAATTTAGTGATTTTTATAATATGAACATAAAAGCTGATTCTGTAAAGTTACAAGAAAAATTCATGCACCAACGGTTGTCATGGAAACCCTTACCTGTCTTCACAACACGCTCCAAATCTACGGAAGCCTACCACTGACAATCAGCTTACGCCATACGCCCATTACAAAATACATGTACATGTAGGCCTAGGAGGCGAGGGAAATGAGGCTGTTGTGACCAAAATGAGGCAAAGAGAGCATTCTGGATAATTCTGTCTCATGAGTAACTTGACGTATCCATTCTAACAGGAAGGGGAGGTGAAGGCATGAATACCCCTCACTGTGGTCGACCAAAAATGAAGGGATCATACTGAGGAACATTCTAGACAACTGTCTCCTATGAACAAATTAAAGTACATTGTACATGTGCCCCATATTGAATTCTCCTCACTGTGGTTGAGCAAAGATGACGGGATCAAACCAATCAACAAACTACATAACTCTGTCTCCTATGAACAACTGAAAGTACGGTACCGGTACCCCTTACTGAATTCCCCTCATTGTGGTCGAGCAAATATGAAGGGATATCAATCTGTGGGAGTGATGTTGCCCTGTGGTGGGGCACCAACCGAAGACGTCTTCCTCTGACCGTTGGGTGGCTAGAAGAGAGAAACATTACCAAAATGACAAGGACCATATCCTGTCTGCGGAAGGCCTCATGCAGCATGGTCCGGCAGAATTTATCAGAGGGACCAAGAGGCTACAGCCATTACATGAAGCTGCGGATGGACAAAGACCACTTTGCCTCAACTACAACCTCACAAAATAGCCGAGGGCATGAAGGCCAACTGAGGTGGCACCAAGGCTGTTTTGAAAATTTGTGTGGTAGACCCTTCAGTTTCAAGAGGGTGCTTGATATTGCCACCCTCCCCTTTTTAAACACTATGTATTAAGCCGTGTAAAAAACACTGAATGGCTGTACAACAAACAAATAAATTAGGCCTACAGAAAAAAATGAGACTCTGCATTACAGACTGTGCTGTTGTATGGGTGCTGTTGTATCCATTACTGAACACAAGGACCCCAAAACTACCTGTGATATCTTGTATGCACGTGTTTAGTGGCATGTACAGCATGAAAGGGACGAAGACCACCAAACTCACAAAGGTGACAAAAACCTGCCTTATGCAACCAAACCATACAGTGCCTAGAATGTCCAAGAATTAGGTCTACAAGCAATTAATGTCAACTAATGTACAACTTGCGCCAGGCAGGTAACCACGATGGGAACAGATGGAGAAAGTGGTCAACAAAGGTCACACATTCATGTAGCGTCTAATCCCATGAAACCCGTGAAGTAGATAGCTGATACTACCAACACTTTAAATAGCGCCTAAATCAGTCGCAAAAGCGACCAAATATTTGCTAATGCGATCATGTTTTCACTATACAGTCGCCACTTGTGACTTAACCCTCCTATGCTGAAGTCACTCTTTGGGTCACTTGGTAAACACCTTAAAGAAGCACAGCTGTGTCGTGTTGTGCACTGCACCAACAGTCCCTCACAGGAATATCAGATTGCACTTTTGTGCTGCCCAATAACTGTGCTTCACTTTTTCATGTGCATCATTGTGCAGTAAACCAAATGCAGTGAAGAGGACTGCACAAAAGACCCTGTGTCTTTTTGTGCTGGCACCCAACTGTGTACACACTGAACCTGTGAGTTCCATATAGAAAATACATGCTCACCAGTGACTGTGGGCATTTGTGCTGTAAAACCAAAGGAGGGTTAAGATAGTTTAAAAAATACATTCAAAATGTACTTGAACACTTGTAATTTTGAGTAAAATCAAAAAGCAATGATTATGTACTTCAAATTCGTTCCAGAAAAGTAGAAATGGCAGTGCAAGTCACATCGTGAATTAAAAGCGTACCATGTGCATTGTACTTGTACATATACGATACTGTACATGTGTAGCAATCACACGTACATGTACGTAGGCAGTCCCATCTAAACATACGTTGTTCATGCACTGTATACGGACACCAGGGCCATTTTGCAAACCACATAAATGAAGCCTGAATTTGTAACGGAGCTCATGCCGGAATTAAAGGGTGTCATTGTGATTTAGAGTGTCGGAGTTATCATGCAGCAGGGTGTCCAACATGCTGAAACTACGGACATTTTAATATCCATGGCTGAACCCCTTGGCGAAAACCCTGATTTTGTGAATTGACCTCGTTGGCGCTCGTGTACATACATGTACATGTACATGCATGTTATGTGGTGCCCCTGTGCCGGGCCGCCCCGTGTCATGATTCTGTGGCATAGATGGACGATGTACACGTACATGTAAACACAGGGTATTGATACCACATGTGTGTACGTGTGTTCATGAATATTCAGTGCACCTGTTTACTAAACTTTCATAAAGTGCTGGCATCTAGATTTTTCCCCATTAGGAGCCAATGGCTACCAACCAAATTTTTTCTGTTTAAAGGATTGGATACTACATGTACATGTACCTTGCTCAAAAAAAAAAAGTGTATTTAACTCTTAGGGGAGGCGAGGCAGAACAGGGGCTAGAGCTGCAACGAGCTACAAGCGAGAACCAGAAGCTGGCACATCCATTTATTTTGTTGTTTGCAAAAGGCAAACATACATGTAACTCATCATGTGGATGCGCAAATTAAGGCCCCTTCCAGTGCATGACAAAACCTGCATACAGTGCCACGCGCTAGACGAAACAGCTCCTGAAGCGACCCCAACAGGGAGAACATAATGCACACGAGCGCTATGTTCTGAGGAAGTGAAATGCACGAACATGCCAGCACACAATGCACCCAAATTGTACATATGGAAGGTGCCTCAAGGTCGTGCGTGGAGCACACTGAAAAGGCGCAGCCAAGAACACTCAAGAATGGTCTGCACGTCAAGTCACCGAACGCACACAAGAACCCGGCTGGAAACCCTTGCACCAGAGGGTCCAACTTGAACCAAAATGTGACACCACTGAGTAGGAAAATGTAGTGCTGTGGCTTAAATTTAAGTACAGGATCCCTCGTTGTCTGAGGCCATGAAGGAAAAACGTAAGGCGTGGTGACCAATGACAACAGCTTCAGTGGAAATTACGGCGTACATGTAGAACTATAACAACTGCAAAATAAAATAATTTTCAACACCTGAAGTGGGGAAAAAATAAACTAATCTAATGATTGAACGTACATGTACATGTACTGTTCCTCCTACACAAGAAATTTATCAGGACCCAAATTGACTGCGTCGAGTTCTGATGCCAAGAACTAGGCAACAAGTGAGTACAGGTAAATGAATGTACCAAGTACATGTACACAAACATTGATCTAAAGGAGAAATGCCAGAGGATCACGAGAAAGCATTCAGTGGTTCATAGTACCGTACCCGAGGAATTTGTAAACATACTGTGCATTTTTTGAGCGTGTAGTTATTGGCCCAAAAGCGATGCGAGATTAAGACGCATAGATTACAGTGAATAAAAGATCTCTGCAATAGTAGCGATATTACCCTAGTGACCGAGTTCCGTTGGCCTGATTATTGTGAGCAGTACAGTAGAATGCGTGGGAGGAGCACGATGGCCAACGAGGGAGGACCGTGAACTTATCCCCGTGACACAATTGGTAACTTAGTCTAAGGCCGAAGGTCTCGTCTAAGAACCTAGGACGTAGCATAAAAAAATTGGTGGGTGTCCAGTGATACCGCGCAATACCGGTGGGATCATAAATATATTTTGAGGCACATGCATGTGCCAAAATCCCTACAATCATCTGACGATAAGATGGAACATGTACATGTAAACAAGGCACGACTGGAAATGGAAGCTGACATGGTTGAAGCTTGCCTGCATGTACTTCCGTCATGACTGGAAATGACAGATTAGCCTGCTGAAGAATATGGAGGCTATCCTCATCGCTGGACAAATAAGAGGAAAAAGGGTGCCTCCGAAGGGGTTCCCCAACAACAACGATCCCCAAGTGTCAGCAGGGGAATCGGATGTTGATCCAACGATGATCCAACGAGTGGGAGCGAGACCGTGGCCTACATGAGCGGTAGCACTGCTGGGATGGGGAAATATGGCATGGCGGTCGTCAGAACGACACTGAGAAGTGAGTCCACGATTCGGAGGGTCAATTACGCCGTGGGCTATTGTAAAGAGGGAAGGAATCCGCCGGATAAAACGGTTGAAAAATCTGGATGCTCGTAGTACCAACGGGCGAGAGTTGTTTGGAGAATAAGACCAAGCACTAGGATGAGAACGAGGTTGAAGCTGTTGCGTCTGAGACCTGTACCGTACCTGCAATAAAACTTGTCATCTACATAGCTAAAATGTGATGACGACTTGTGGCGGTTGCGGTGCCCCGGGCCTCTATAACTGGGTGGGACTTGCAGTCATTCGAGTGATTACATTGAGTGCCGGGCCCCGCCCTCCCGCATGCACATGGACGTTGAATTCTGCTGTTTCCATGTGCTCACTAGCTAGCTGCCGGAAGTGTGCGGCATTCGCCAGGAAGTAACCCTGGTCGAGACCAGTCGCAGGCTTAGCCCTGGAAACTTTCCAACCTTTGAACCTGACATATTAAACTTGGTTGACATGGTGGAAATATCACACTTAGAGGGCTGATCAGGCCGGAAGGACCAGGAGATTTGCCCGGAACATGGCTTGTATTAAGGGTTCTCTGTCGAATTCAGCAAGATTGCATATGATCATGAAGCTCCATTGTACTCTGATCTCACACGATATGGACTGCACGCGTCGCTGAAAAAATCTAGGACGAGTCTAAGTGCTACACGGCCTTTTATGGGGACATGCAGCGGGCACGGAGGGTGTGGCTTGGGCGACCTTTTCAACGAGGTTTAACGCGCATGCGCGCTGATATGAAAATGTAGGTAAACAGAGGTGAGATGTTTTCTGGAATGGAATGGTGGTTCTGACAGAGAGGTCTGTGGGCACACCATGAGTAGAATCAATCTCTTCTGGTGGTTCTGGCAGAGAGGTCTGTGGGTAGACCATGTGTAGAATCAATCTCTTCTGGTGGTTCTGGCAGAGAGGTTTGTGCCAGGATGCTCTGGTTCTTTCCCCTGAGGAGTTCCAACTCACTGGTTCTTGTCAGAACCCCCCACTCCTATAGAAGAGATTGATTCCACATAGTGTACTCACAAAACTTCTCTAAGCCAAGCTAGCCTCAATCATGCAAAGTTTCAAATCTTACTGTCAGAATCACTCCACAGCCTCCATACATGACGTTCATGACGAACAGAATGTTGAGTTATTCAAGGCACTGCAAAAATCCAAATCCATTACAGAAATACATGTGTCACAATGTGACAGTAACTTACTGGCCCCTTAATGACCACATTTATCTCTTTAGCATCACATCTTTAGGCAGCTGAAAAGACAAATTGCATTCAATCCTGAGGGCAGCATTTACAGTATCAACGTCATCCTCAATGCTTGAAAAGACAACTTACAGTCACTGCAGACGACAGACATCTCCTAGATGGACAGTACATGCTCCTTCCACTCTCTCTGCCCTCTCCGTGTCTATCCACTTGCTAACAAGTGCCCTAACAATAAAGAAAAAAGAAAATTAGGCTGGAGAAATAGAAAGGCCCATTTCCTGTCATAATTAAAACAAGCACAATACTGTTCAGCTAGAAACCCTGCCAGACACACCAGTCTGCATCATTTGTCAAAGTGCTTGCCTGCCCAGTGTAACAAGATCCAATAGGTCAACTCTTCCCAAGGCAAACAGCCTCAGAGGCTGTGGTTGCTAGTCACCACAAGATCCAACAGTCGCATCTGCATCTGTTGGATTAGCTCCCATTGTCTCAACATGATCAGTTTGTTTGGCTACTGTTGCCTGCCAAGTGCATAAAAGTCCATCAGATGTTTACACATGTTGCACTGTTGCCAAGGTGATGGTTTTTACCATTTTTCAACTCCTCTTCTTTCATTTCTGGAGGTTGTATGATGCAGGCAGTCTTGGATTCTGCAGTATGACCGTCTTGCCTGATCCTTCATCAATGCTACCAGAGAGGATACCATGGCAACAAGGGGCATGATCTGTGGATTCGGAGTCAAAATACACAGAAAATGGTTAAAATAAGAAAAACATTTCAGACAAAAAACTATCTTTGTAAAAAACAAATGTTCACTTTCATTCCTATTATTTTTCACCACTTCATGCAGGGGCATTTTTCAATGTTGATGATGCTGGGCCGGCATGACTATCATTTTTTCCGTTTTAAAAATCCTTCAAAAATTCATCATTTCATTTAATGGTCGTTTATAGCAGCACCAAGTAATCTTTAGGCACTACTCTAAGTTGACAGGTGACCTTCATTGATGCCCGGGTATTTTAGTATTTCAGCCAGGCCTGCAGCCTTGTAAACAGAGCCCAGATTGTGCGGTGTTGTATAACTGTCTTTTGTTCACGAACCTGGCTCAGTGCACTGCTGACCTCTTTTCAATAGGGGCCAGATTAGCCTGCAGCGGTGCTGTGTGGCTCATCGCTGCGCTTGTCCCTGGTGGTAATCCGCTTGCTCTCAATGCCCCAAACCCTGGTATACGGTTTCAAAACAAGGCTGGATTATCACCACTTTTGAGAGTGAAAAATGTCAGAAATGCCCAGCAGCCTGGTCTTTTGTTCAGAGTACTGTCTTTTGTTAAAGGGTCCTGTTTCTTTGAGTTCGGCGACCCCGGCAGGAAGTGGTTAATTAAGGAGCTGCAAATAAAAATTTTCAAAGATTTTAAATTCTGGCTTCCATCAGCTTAATGTTTAGGGAAATTATACTCCAAGATACGTTTACGGTTGGTTATGTTGTCAGCCATAAAGCATCATGTCTACAACATGTACATGTATCACATCCGGCACTGTGCAATGTCTCTTTAGAAATGTTACCGTAGATGCCTGAAATACAAACTGCAGGATTGTCTCAAACTTGGAATCCTATCTTCCGAAATGTGAATGACTCAACGAATTTACTTGCGCCGACGTATTCCTCAGAGTTTGGACTTTTACACATGTACATGTATGAGCACCCTGAAGCTTTCCAAAACCGTATATATACATGCATTTTCCAATGTATGGCACCTTGAAAAACCCGGTTTGTGATATTTATATGCCGACTGTGGGAATCGCCATTTTGGCAAACGAAGGCAGTGCTTCGTGCATCTGAAGTCAACGCAGCCGAAAGGTGTTGTAGATGCATATAATTTGTGTTGACACGGTATTGCTTACTAATAAGTTGCGCATGCACTTTGCCCCTGTAGTGTACAGTGCACCCACAGCACGTGTGTGGAGCACATGCATTAATGTTATTCAAATTTAATATCACTGGTTCCTTGTGCATCTGTCTCACAAGGTGACAGGGAACCAGTTTTGTACAGTACGCCCTACATGTACGTGTATATATGTACATGTATACATTTACATGTACATGTATACATGTACATATACTGTACATGTACCAGAGCGCCTGCCCGTAGGGAGTCTGGCACTTTCAGGTTTTTTTGGTTTGACTTCCACAACTTCAGTACAGTACAATTGGAAAAGAATTCCAAAAGAAATTGAATGGTACAAAATTTAGCTCAATAGCTAAATAATTAGAGTGAGGTTATGAATTTCTTTGTTATTAAAATTAGGTGTACATGTACAGTGTATTTAGTCCATCCCTTTTTGGGGGTGGACTCAAGTTTTACATTCATCAATTGATATGTTTGAACCACATGGAGCCTTGATCCTCATCAGTACCACGTCCAGTATGCTGGAGTTGGACAAAGATCTCTAAGTACATGTACATGTAAGTCACAGAGCAAGTGACAAGTAAACTATACAATATCTTTTATCAGTGTTGGAGTACTCGTACATGTACTCGGCCCGTACTCAACTATCAGTACTCAAAATTTATTTGGACTTGGCCTGTGCTCTATTCTTTGTACTCAAATTTAACATACATGTACATGTATGTTCTCGAACTGACGGTACTCAGTACTTTGCCCCAGTACTCGAGGGTATACATGTAGTTCCAGTACAACGCTTAATCGACTCCCATCAAATGCATCGACAATGCAAAAGTACATGTACATGTACAAGGTCCATACCAAGCAAAAGGGCCATGCCTGTTTGCAGGACTGACCAGGAGAAAAAATCGGAGTGGGCGAGGTTCATCAAGTACTGCTGCTGAGTTTGACCGCTACTTAGATTTGTGTTGAGACCAAGACTTTCACTGATGACCCTGTTGCCTTTTGGCATTGTCATCAGAATCTCTGCCAAAGCTGTTCATTTTGGCAAAGCAAGCTATGTCAGTGGCTGCATCAAGCGAATGCTCTCGTAGACCGGGTATTCAGGACCGGTGGTAATTTTTCTGCGGCCCTGCATCGCAGCCGCCTCACGAGCAAGGTGCTCTCCAGTCTTGTTTTCTTGAAGTGTAGAAAAATTTATTTCTATTAGTTTACACGACCACAGAGTGAAGTGTTTCCTGTAACAGTGGACGTTATTTTATCATTCCAGTTCTGACGGCATTATATTACTAAGGATTCTCAAGTACATACATACAAAGTGTTTAGTAGTTACAATTAATTCAGATTACATGTAGTTGGGTTTGAATTTTTTAGTGATGTGTGAAAGATCACTGAAGCATACATGTATTTTGGTGTGTACAGTATACACGTACATGTATATCATCAATAAATACATGTAATAAGGGACCAAGTTTGTCACTTGTCAGGTGTCATACATGTACATGTAAGTTACACCATGTATTTTAAGTCTGTTCGTGTTTGTTCCCTTGCACTACAGTGTACGCATCACCCCAATACAAAACAGCTGTCCAGCACCAGAATGCTATCGATTTTTGACCAAAAAAAACTTCCCTTTCTTCCTGAAATTCTAAGATTCCTAATTAACATTGTTTTATGTATGTTACATCAACTCCTTATGCATGACTAAGATGGAAAGCTTGCGGTAAGCAACATGCAATATCTCTTTTTGAGTCTGTGTGGTTCTGATAAGAACCGCATGGTTATGCATGGTTCAGGGGGATTTTCAACAGAAAAATGAACATTTTTGGTTACCTTTTTGTAGTCTTGACAACCCAAAACAAGGCTTGACAATGCTAATAGTCAAATACCTTGAGTCAAGCATCCAATGAAAGAGTATTTTTTGCTCTACAAGATGATGACATCATCGTTCAAAACCCGGTCAACTTGGGTCAAATGTCGCAAGATACGAGACGAGACCATGTCACATGACAATAAACAGAGATGGCCACACACAGTTGCTGACGTAGTGTGACTCCAATTTTGCATTATTTTCATTAAACTTTACATGTAACATACACCCAAAAGTCATTGCAAACAGACATAATTATGGTACTAACACAAAGTTTGGTTCTTTTACAACACAACTGCTTTTTAAAATACAGAATTTGATGCACAAAAAGGGCAGAAATCGTTGATTGAAAGCAAACACTTTTATATGCTTTAAGATATAACATTTGGAGGTGCCAATAGTTGGATTCCCAGTAGGGAGTCCAGTGAAATGGCACCTCTAAAGCAGTGCTTCGCGCATCGGATTTCAAGGCACCCAACAGTAGGCTACTGTTGAGTGCTTTGAAATCCGACACACAAAGCGCTGCTTTCGTTTTTCAAAATGGCGACGCCAACGGTCAGCATACATGTACACTGTACATGTAAAAAGCTGGGTTTTTCAAGGTGCCATACATAGTTGAAATTATTAAATATGGCAACAAACAAAGTATTTTGCAGGAAATTTTGCAAAATTCCACGTCCCACGGCCATGCCACTTCGCACCTAACCACTTCGCCACATTTCCACTTCATCCAATTTCTAGTTCGCCCCATAAATTATCGTTCATTCTGAAAGACGTACAATGTAGGCCTAGATGCAAGAAGTAAAAACATCAACTTTTGAGTACCCAAATAACGATCAGAGAATCAAACTTGCAAAGACAAAACAGTGCGTCCAATTTCCCAACCGAACTACAGTTTTCGGCAAGACCCTAAAATGTTTATTGGCAAGTTAGAAAAAAGGTTTTCATGTATCGTTGTCGCTGTGGTAAAAACATGTGTGCAAAGCACTGGTTCCTGCCGCGCTGCACCCATGTAAGAGAATGCATGCTGGAATGTGGCAACCAGTCTTGTCATGCCCCGGCCACCATACACTGTACATGTACATGATCTCACGAATCAAAAAGAAACCATCAATGTTGCAATATTTCTTCAAGGTAATTTGTAATATCTTGTTAGGTTGTTTTATTATACTTGAACTTGAAAGGAGCATGTTTCCACAAAATTTCCGCCGAGCTTTATCCAATCGCCGGCGGGCACAGCTGTCTGAATGCATCGTCAATAACTACCAGAACGATGTAGACAGAACTGTTTGTATTGCTTTGAAATTGCAGAAGATCCAAATGCTAGTCCAGTCATATACATGTACATGTATTAATTATCCATGTGGACAATGCAGTCGACATTTGCCATAGAGTTTTCTATAGGCCTAGCCTAATAGTCCTAATTAGGCCTACATGTACATGTCGTTTGTCCTCTCTCCACCATTTTTGTTAAGAGGCCCGCAACACTGTACTCGAGCACGGACGGCAAAGTGACAATGGGGCGAAGTGGTGATGGGGCGACTGTGGGGATAGGGCGAAGCACGCACATGGGCGAAGTGAATGTAAAGCTTACCCGTGTACGGTATTCAAACTTGCTCGTTCAGATAGAGGCAAAAAATACTGAACAGAATTAGTAAATATGCCTCAATCTAATGCTAAAACTAACCACAGTAATCTCATGTGCATTGAACAAACACTTGGCACAAAATTTGACAAAAGTTGCTCCTTGTTTAACACACCGAAAAACGGAGTAAGGCCTACCTTTCGCTTGATCTAGCTGCTCTCCACGCACGTGGGCGTCCTCTCGCGAATTTTTAGTAATGGCAGTTACAGCGCCCGCTATATGATTACGCCACACTAACAGCGCACGCGCCCATGTGGTGCCGTTAAAATATCTAAATTTCGCGCTCGACTGAGCTCAATATGTGGACGCGCTGGGATTGAAGCACATGCATAGGCCCCTATGAACTGCCATAGGCATGGTCAGCTGCCATAGGGACAGATCATAGATATAACAAAATAAATCACGAATTTGTGACTTGTAACTTTTAATTAATTTCCGCGTAGAATACCCTTTATCTACATTCTAATTGCATTCAGTGTTCTTGTGCAACTTCAAAATGCAATGGGAAAGAAAGGCTTCTCTTTGAACAAAGTCATTGTGAAGGCACATGCTACACGAGTCTGTTCGAGGCTTTGCCGGTGATGCTCAACTTGGTTGTGGCATCAAGAAGCCTGTGATGTCGAAGATCTACCAGCAAGTTGAAATGACGAACCACTATGCTGAAATTAAATGACGTCATAATGGCATCACCTGCAGTGGCATACCACGCCCACTCCGTAGGCTTGCGCTTACACACGATAAAGAGGCGTTTATGCACACAAATTCTGTATGGAATTTAGTGGGTCGACGTTACTATAGGACATTGATCAAGCGGGCAACGGACAAAGATGATCAATAAATGACCACGTTAAAAGGAAACTGCAGAAAGTCACATGCTATATCCAGAGACAGACACGTTCTAGTTTTTCTTATCCACTCTAAATCCCATGGCATAACACGTGTTTTTGATCTCCACTCCTTGTCAGTTTTTTGCCCGGTTGTGGACTCCAATTCCTTTCAACTTTGGGGGATACTTGGAAAACAACTTGAAATGTAGGCCTACTCTCCATCAATCTCAGGGCTGTTTGCGACTTGCCCCTGGGCTTGGATGTTTATTATTGACTCTAATCGAGCTCAGCCGACAATAATCTCAATGCCATGCAGTCTGCACAGTACATGAATAGGGATTCAGTAGCTCTGTGCTTGAATGTTCCATGCGTTCAGCTTAATTTTCTAATAAACGGGTAACCTTTTGAAATGAACCATTCAGACAGTGCAATCCAATTGTTAACATCCTTTCTGCGTCGGGAGGCTCACACGGGCCCATCAGCTTTTGCTCTGGTTACCCATAGCAACCAGTGAGCTTGACTTCTGAATTCAGCACCAACTTCAGCCTCCAGGAGCAGACGGAAAATGGAAATGAACATGATAAACTGTGAAATGCACGCTGTATTAATTCTATATGCAAAATGATTTTTGGAAAATTGTTTTGAAAGTATTCAGTTCATTTAATCTTATCCTGACGTCATCACGGGAGCTGGAGCCAGTGCCTAAAAAAAAAGACGAATACAGGGACATAATGAAGTTGTCTGTGCATTGAATCTGTACTTGCAACTATAAAATGCATCTGCCCATAATTTGAAATACACTTCACGTAGGATGAATCGATTGCCAGGTTAATGTAAGTTGAAGAGGAAGAATAGTTTGAGCCTTTTTGTACAAAAAACTACACTGAAGTTAGTGGTAGGCCCTATAGTAGGTTTTCCAACGTAATCTCTCAGATTTCACTTTATACATGATATTCAAATAGTCAGTGGATTGAAAAATGAGCATTAAAAACGTTCCGCTGATGCAGTCGCCATCTCTTACATAAAGTACAGGACTGCGTTTCTTTTCATTTATTTTGGGGAGAACATATAACAAATATATGGCTTGTTTCAAACCATGTTAAGGTACAAATGAATTTGCCTATTATCAAACAGCAAATAGTTTCACAAGCAGATCAACGGTTAGAATCAGTGATTCTGAAAAAAATCATTTTGCTTTGTTTGTCTCGTTCATGAAATGCACATTTTTAAACGTAGCTTACATACATTAACATTTTGTAACCCATAATTTATAAGGAATCGCGAAGTGAAACCAAACTTCCATCTACTGCACACCAATCAGCTGAGTTTTCCATAGCAAACACATATAGCTGGTAGTAAACATTGTTGCATCTGTGGTAACACAATTACAGCAAAAGGTACGGTAATAATTAAAAAAACCCAATGTTATCAATGAAAAATTAAACATAAATTCTTCATCGTCCAGCTGAAATAATGTGGTACTCATAATTTAAAGTTCATAAATCGTTCTCATATTTCGTGCTAAGTTCATGTTTGTGACCACAAAGAGAAATAGTACGTCTGCTTTTAAGATATAATTGGATAATACACGCATTCATTGGAGTAAGTAAATTGTTTCCATTGTCTCCTTTCTCTAATCCACGTTCATATTACTGTCTATCGTAACTGTGTTGTTTTAACATAACAAAATAACTTAAAACTCAAGCCTGCGTCCAGAGGTGAGAATACCAACGGGAACAGCGTCATTGACATTCGGTTGCCTTCGCTTCACAGGGAGATCGGTTTTCTTGATGCTTCCGTCAATGGTAAAGTCCGAAAAAAAAAAGAATTACGTGATAAAAAAGTAGCAAGACTAATTTTTAGATAAGTGCTGTCACATCACGAAGTCACTTCTTTGTGTTTTGGTGATCTATGTAGTAGGCCTATTGAGGGTGGTACAGCACCGCTCGTTCTGCACTGGATGCCGTACTGTGGATTTCGTTCAACAGTCGCCACTTTGGTGTTTGGGCGACATCGTATTGCACATGCACATTTTCAGCACTGTTTTTGCATCATATCCTTTGTTATTTAATAGACAAAGTCAGGGTCGGTAGAAAATAGGGTTGGTTGAAATTGATAACCATAGAAATTTTAAAAAGGGAACACCACATTTGGATGAAAACCGCGTACGGTACGCATTGGTACGGTCCGTGAGCGGGTTGACAGGAAAGATTGTCCTCCAAAAGGAAAACTAATTGAGATAAGTCAAAGGAGACACCGTTTGGACTAGAATCTCATCTAGTCTCATCTAGACTAAAATTTAAAGCGTACCCATGTACATGTCACATATGGCCCTGACTACTTTAACAGGACGAATGCAGCAAAAATATAGCACCAATAAATAAATGAACATAGAATAAAAACAAATATAATGAAACCGTCCATACCACGCAGTTTATCAGCTAGATCTTCCCTGTCAATTTTCTTCAACTCGCAGCAAAGCCATTCAAGCTGTGCTTCAGGGGATAACTGCTTATTTCGCCATCCAAGTAGCACTTTGAGAATCTGATCTTGACTGTCCTTAATCTCGAGGATATCGGTTTCACTGAAGCCGAGAGATGTTGCTAGTGCCTCCCACTCAGGTCCCAGCGCGAGTGACACCTCTTGAAGACTTGAATCATCTAGGCCTATTTCTGGGATAGCAAAATCGTATATTAATTTTATAGAACCGAGATCCCTTCTCGGTGTTAAAGCTTTGTTGTATGCATTTTATTAAGTCCCACATGATCTGATGTTTGAAGAAGAAGGCAAAGCATATAAAAAAATGAACTTTTCAACTTAATGTGTTGTTCCTGAAATCAATAGTTTCAGCAGGTTCAATTGCTCAAAATGTCTACATTGGTTTAAACGTCCTTCATCTGAAGTTGTGATAACTCGTACCTTGGTAAAGATTTCATACAAACCGTTATCAATGCTTGTTTTCAGTGAATTATCAGGATAAAAATGAATTATCTTGGAGAATCGTAACTATTTTTCCCAGATAAAGGTGCCTAAATACCGGCGAGAAAAACACACAAATGTATGTACTTGGAGGTTTATTACCAATATCCACTCCGTAGATCTCTACGATGTTGGTTTTGAGCGTATTGACCAGAGCTTCAGGATACCGCTCATCTCGCCATCCCACTAGCATCTGAAAAATCTGGTTGCTGGTATCATGTGGGTTGTCGTTCTTGAATTGGTAGATGTCGGGTGAACTAAAGCCGAGGAAGGTTGCTAGAGCCTCCCATTCAGCACCGAGCTCCTTCGAAAACAAACGCAGCGTTGAATCTTTGATGCCTGGGGAAAATCAGAAGATCAAAAGGACAAAGATGGTTGCCCCGTGCACAGGAGTGAAATTTTGGTGATCCATCACTACGGGTGAGCAATGGATCTACGTGACTAGAAGAATTGTTCAGAGTCACTGAAAAGGAATCTGTGCAAAGATGTTATTCAGCTTTCTTTTAACTCTTCTCAAATATCACTTACCTTTCCTATCTGACATAATTTCTTCCTTTTTTGAAACCTGGAGTTCAGTTACCCCGTGGTTCGGGGCAACATGTTGCTGGATGGGAAAAAAGGATTAGAACAAATTTACATATTAAAATCTTTTTAGGCCAAGTCTCCAGATGCAATTTATAATAAAGTTACTTTCGTAGAAAAACTCATTCGAGAGAATCTTATATAATTTATATTGCAAAGGTATGACGACTACAACCAAGGGGTGTGGCTTGTGCCGAAGTTACCCTGGGGTACCAAAGTTACCCTGGAATGCAAAATTTACCCTGGTTTACGGTACGTCTTTAAACTGATCGTTCAAATGACAAGTAAAATTTCACACACAATCTTGATATTCAGAGAGAAACCTTGCTACCGGTTTTACAACTTACCCTGGTGATCTCTTGAACAATTTTGTTGCATTCCGTCGGTGTTATTTCTCTACGTATACCAGGCTTCTGAATGCACAGGACTTGGTCACTGTGTAAAGTCACGAAGATTCTGCAGCTGTCACCGCTACCATTTTGTCCTTTCAATTGCTGCTGCACTTCCTTGTACAAATCAAAACTTTTCTTCGGGTCTCCACAGTGACCGTTGCCCTCACGTCTTCGTTTGGAGAAACCATTCTTGATCTCGTCCTGATCATTCAAAGAAAAATAAGTCCACGTATCTTGAATAGTTGCCGCTTTGTTTCTACTCGTGCAAATTATAATAATTTTTGAAACATTTTAGATTCGGAGATTCACGTAATAACTGTAAAAAAAGAATCTCAATGAAGGAAAATAAAAGAAAACGGGTCTGATTCTATTATAATCTTAAGTCTGTAGAATCTATTTTAAGTCTGTAGCACTTGGTTTTTTCCTGCCTTTTACCTGGAGACTTGTGGTCGTGCCATTGCTTTCTGCTCCAATCGATGATGTAGACTGCATTAGCTGCAGAAAAACCAACATACCGTATGTGTTTAATTAGTTAGTTCTTCAGCTGGCAAAGTGCAAGTAAATATGCCTATTTATTGTGCAGTGATGGGCATATATGGTTTTGTCTTGTTTGAATTGAGGAACATTTGCGACAGATGACTGCTCTAAATTGTACTTGGCATGAAATTTAGACACAAATTAACAATTGTTCGAATTAATAAGAAATTAAAATAATGACTTATTGATGAGTTGCCTCTAATGTAAGGCTCCCCTTAGTGTAAGGTGTGAATATGTTTCTGTTTTCTCACCGCTGCATTGCCGACAGCAACACCACGATCACGGGCAGTCATCTCAGCACAGTTTTCTGTCTTTATCTGCAAAGAATTAAGGTAAAATTGTTATAAATCAAAGTTTCCTTTAAGCATATAAATAGTAAAATTGCTGATAACATTCGACCTCTCACTTTTACTGATTGGTTCTTCTAATTAGCGACGTCGCATTGATGAGAACTTACAGCAGCGCAAATAGAAAGGCAACTTTTGCTTTGCTTTCTGGAGTCTCCATCTGCACGTTTCTGGTACGTTTCCACAGAACAGTACAGGTCGTCACCACCATGAAGCTTTGATAGTTGACGCAGGGTAAATGTCACAGAGTTTGATGGATGATTGCTTATCTTTGTCTCGTCGATAATCTGCTAAAACAAACAGAAAATCATTTGATCTATTTCCATTATCACGTATATACGAACAACTACTAAGAAGCTAAGATACATGTATATGCTTTCATTTGAGAAGTGCCCGTTTTATTTTATTCATTTCATGTCAGTGACCTAAACGGACATCTAAGATCTAATGAACTGGGTACAATGCAGTCTTACCTGTTCTTCTCCTTCAGGCACTTGACATCCATCAGGGAACTGAGAAAGTTTAACGTACACTCCGCCCCCGCCCCACCTAAACAAAAGGTTCCGGAAACCATCCAATCTGTTCAACTTCTCATCAGCTTCCACATTCTGTGTGCATGTAATTAATAGAGAGAATAAGTGAAAGACCAATCTTGCAGCCTTCACGAACTATCTGCAACGTTCAATCAATCCAACACTACCTTTTAACAGAAGAATGAACCAAAAATCCTGATTTGGGCCACATTGTCAAAAATGCACTAAAAGCAGTGACATCGTTTTCTGTTTTGTTAAAAGTAAAAGAAAAATCATGCAGGCTTCTGCACTGTCACTTTCTTAATGGATTTTGCCCATATCCATATTCAAGATTAAGGATGGGAAATGGCTCATTGGCAACACAATCAGTTGGACATTATTTTCAAATGGTTAGAATTTGATTTTAAATATCAGACTACCAAAGAATGCGTAAATATCACTCACAAGATTACTGAGATTGAAGAATGCTTCAATAACTGAGCACAACTTAGTTAAAATTGAAGTTTCGAGACGTTCTCGAGGTCTTACCTTTTTGACTGCTTCATCGTCGTTCAAAACCCACACCCGAAATTGGTATGTTCGTCCGTTGCGCACGAAGTTGTCTCCGTAGGCAGCCACTAGAAGCCGTTTGCTACTGCTCCCCAATGACATCAGTTTCATTAAGAACTCCAGCGCGTACCATGTGAAGTGATTTACAAAGAGAATTACCCTGTCTTTGGTCACCACGACCAAATTTTCATCGAACTCTTCCCACGTCTTTGACGAGTCATCGTCTTGACACATTCTGGCGCTGAACCCCTTGGGATCCATACTTGTTACATCAGCTTGATGAGGGAAGGACAATACCACACTTTCCGCAAACTTCAACCCTGTAGGGCCGCATTTGACGCGTCTCGAAAGTGCGATCTTTGTCGGGTCGTCCCCATCGGTCAGCAGTGCAGATGGGTCGACATAGATGTAGACCTCCTGAGGGGGGCCGGGAGGTATAGCACCAGGCGGAATAGTGAGGTGAACACCGTAGTTATCTAAAGACAGGCTTCCACCGCTCTCGTTGAAGTGCCCTATGGCGATGTAAGGTAACTGAAAGCACGTGTCAAGAAGTTCCTCATCACTGAAGTCACTTGTTTGTGAATGATATTCATCAAGGATCATTTGAAGGCGGGATGGTGGTTGCTGTGAGTTACTCTCTGAAGATATCTGAAATGTTTATATGTCGCAAATCATAACGAAAGAAGAATTTTGTTTTAACACAAGCTCAGTGTACGGAATCTGCATTATACCTCTGCATTTGTATAGACCAATCCAGTTAGACGCCATAACTGTGGTGGCACCGCACTCACACGCACATTCTTCAGGTCGACGCGCGCGTGCATTTGGCAAATCACGAAAGCCTATTGGTCGAAGAGTCATGTAACGCGCGCGAATCATCTGTCCACGAGCGTTGTGCCACCGCAGTAATGGCTTCTAATTCTGCTGGTCGAATTACACTATGCCACTTGAGAACTTCTCACATAGCATATGCATGATCACAGAACCTCCAAGTAGAAGATCTAATGAATTATGAAGTGTCGTGAGATTAACATACTGGTTTAAATCATACTTTACTGAAACGCAAAATGCATCAAACATTAGAGCAAATGCAAGTTCGATAACTACCCAACAAACCCAGCTAGCACATTCATTATAGATTAGCCTTAACAAGATGTGAATAATTTCATTGATAATGAGCCAAGAATGGAAGTTATAGAACCTGAACATCATTGTACCAAATGAGTATAAACTGCATGGTAGGATCCTTTCGTCAACGTTTTCATGAAAATTTGTTGTTTGTTCTTTTTGCCTTATAAACAACGCTACCTACACTCGGAATCTTGATGAAATCATTTTGACAAAATTTATTCAAATCAGGAAGAATCTCGATGTTCTCCATGGGGCAAAGTTGAACGTAACCGCATTTCTGGTTTTCGGAAAGGGACAGAATTTTTGCTCCAAGGAGATTACGATGCAATATATGCCGTTTTCACGAGGCAGTGAACTTAGAAATGAACATAACGTACCGCCACGCTGTAGCGTTGCCAATATGGTTTCCCTAGTTTTAAGAATTTTCACTGGCGAAAATGTTTAGGTGACTAAATAATCCTGATTGACAGTAAAAGTACGAATTCGAAATTGTAATCTCTAGAATTTTATTAAATAAAGGAGAATAAATATGCGCTTGGTAGGTCTTAAACGTTCGTTTAGCGCAGCTTTCATTCTAACGTTTGTTAGGTGGCATATGTGCTTGACCTACTAAAACGTTCAATGACTCAGAACACACAAAGTAACTGGGAGAAGAAGATTAAATGGTACAATCTCAAATTGGTGACAGCACTGACAAAAACGTACATCTTTGGTATGGACATCAGGCAGTATTTCTACATCACTTGTCACTGCTGATTCAGGCTGCAACGCCGTGCTTTCCGACAGTTGAACTCGGTGTGACTCTAATCTTCCTGAGAAATGAATTCAAAGCATTCGGGGCAAATTTATTCAAGTAAGTAGAACTGCCTGAAATATTTCAACTCGCAGCGCTAGGATATGTGTGACAAGCGTTCTTATAACCAAAACGAATAAAACCACGACTTCCAATTCAATAGTTCATATTTTTGACAACTCCAAACCCCTGCGAGCAAAGGAAAAACGGGTACAACCCACATGAATGGATTCTATATCCACTCAGAAAGTAAACAGCCGCCTTGGGAGGGGCCTAAAGCACCTTCAACCTCTTCAAATGGATTATTCGAGCTCCAGGAAACACCTACACGACAGTTTATGTTAGATTTTGATGGGGGGGGTCTGGTAGTAGGCCCACATGTACATTGCATGGTTGCAGCACTTATAAGCCGATCCCCACTTTGGCCACGTAAGCCCCCCCCCCAGTCAAGCCCCAGACATGATTTACCTCCCATAGAATAGCCCTTAAGTTCCACGAAGCCAGAGGCAAAAGGGCGGGGATTGTTTATAACTGTCAGGGCGGCACAAGAACAGACACTGTGAGCTCGTTTACATGGTTGGGCCAGGGCCAAGCTTTCCCAAAGGAATCCATGGGCTAGAGTGGAAAGCCTGTCTGTCAAGGCTCCGTACTCACCAGCTGTTTATAGCAACGTTAAAGGGACTCTGCAGTCTTGAAGCGTATGGATAGAGTGAGAATTTTTTTTAAAAAATCAGCTTAATCGAACTAAAAATGAAAAGGTTATTGAAAAAAGTTGAAAATTGGATTTTTTACATCCCAATTGCTTTTCTGAGGGTTTTGCCAAAATGACACTTGGTATCACTTCATTTATTCTTATCTTTAGACTTAAGTAAAAAGAGTTTCGTCAACTGGACTAAATCATTCGACGCCATTGGCACTGTTTGACTTGATTTGTCCACAAAAGATAGATACATGTACATGTATAAGTCGACTATGCAGAGGGTTAAGTACTTGCAAAATGGATTGAAAAAAATCAATGCCAAAACTACAACGGCTAATGCCTTATCATCACCCCGATTTTATCAATTTTGATCTGTGGATGCAGTACCTCGGTGAGGTCGAAGTGAAAGCTGTAGACGATGCTCCTTGCCAAGGTCTGTCATTGCACTGCACAGATGTCCAAGCTGATCTCTTGTCATGTGTACGCGTTGTTTCCATTTCCATAGCAAGACCAAAGATCGAGTTGTGTCATTGCCGAGGTTTTCTTTCATGATTTCATCACTTTCTGATGACGCACTGAAGCCAAGCAGGAGAGCAAACTCCTTCCATTTGGGTCCAAATTGTTTAGATACCGAGACCAGCACCTTTTGGTGTGATTCTAAAATGAATACACGATAAAGCGATATTGAGGAACATTGCGTTTTCAGAAGACCATGTTATTTCGGTTAAGTGCACCACAGAAGATGCAGATATTCCTAATTTTCTGGAGGCTCCTAACCTACCAATTTTAATAAAATGATGCTGAAAAATGATGAATAAAATTTCGTTTCTTTTGTCCAAGTAATTATCTGCGCCTTTCAAGTGACCTTTGGGAATGACGGCATTTGAAATAAGTTTGTACGTTTTCAGGATTAACGTTAACCGGTTCTGTGATGCCAAGGAAGTATGTTGAATTTGTACGTCGTTAAAATTTTCGTACAAGGCAAGGCTGATTTTAATTAAATTAGAAGAACACATCCATTTTCAACCAACTTGCCAGTATTACATGATGTGAATGGCTCCTATGCCCTTGAAAATTACCTCTTCTACTTTACTGACTGGACTTTATTAACCTTTAGCAATACCTGTAGCATGAAGATCTTGAGATACAAGATAAGCTTGGCTGATGATCGCTATTGCATAGCAAAGTTTTCCAAATTGAGAATTATTCCTGTCCGGGTGGGAATTCCACTTTCTTACAGAGAAGGATGCTTCAGCAAGTTGACATCCCTCCACGCTGCTTAGGCCTGTTTCTTCACTGCTAAAACTATGGAAAGAAGCCAGTTCTGTCCATTCTTGGCCGAGTCTTCTTGCCGGCTCAAACAAAACTTCATCGGCTGTAAAAAAAATGCAATTCTTAGTGAAAGGGGAGGGATCAACTACAATTTTCTATTTGTAGTCTTTTACGGCCTTTTAGAATGCTGAGGCTTTGTGACTTTGTTAATCACATTTTGAGTGGGGCAGGTGACATGGCTTTTTTAATTTCCTCTGCCCCATTTACCATTGAGAGCACTGCAATCAATGACCTGAAAAAAAGGAATTGACCACATGAAATAATGCTGCATCAGATAGATAGCACACAGATATAAACATTCACAAAGCAACGGACCAGTTGACGTCGGAGTTATTTAGCCTCGAATGTTTCAGAAGACAGATTCCCTCCTTGGAACAAAAAGAATTACACTCACAATATAGTATCTATTACGTCACATTTTGATTGACTAAAATGGCACTTGTATTTTGTTTTGTTGCATTTAAACACATGTTGTACTGCGGTACATTATTCCTCCTGCAATAAAAAGCGAATCAACAGAGAGTTTAAATTCGGAAGTTTGCATTTTCTCTCCTTATACCAACAGAAAAAGCAGGGAAATTGTTTTGGAGACTATAATGTATTTGCATTTCAAATACTGTAACTATCTGTCTATGAAAATGGCAGGTCAGCTTACATGTTACGTCCGGATTCGACTCAAGCACGGCTAATTTCGTCTACAGGTGAGCCGAAAAGTCAACCATCTTAAATCTCACCGATCACATTCTATTTCCACTTCTTGACACCTCCCATTGTTTGAAACGGGGCTAAATATACTACATGTAAAATACAGTTTGACTTTGTGGATTTCAACTGCACTGAAAGCAGAAGAGTTAATTGGTCTGATTTCATTGGGAAGTGTCTTATTTTTAAATATTTGTCTTATATTTATTCATTACCCTAATCTACAACAGTGCATCCTTTTGCCGATACTGCTGGCCATATTAGCATTCCATATAGTCTATATGGGCAAACAATCCTTTTATAACAGCTACAATTTACCAGATTACAGGATTAGCCTAAAGCGTTCATTTATTTGAAGAAACATTAGGAATGGATTAGTGGGCGTTGTGTGAAGCATATCACTTTTATCTTGTGAATACAATTAACCTACCTGGATGCTGCAGTGGATCTGCTAGGCCCTTTTTGCTAATTTCTTTCAATGCTACGCAGAGCTTTTCCTGGACCTGATCTTTACGAATGTCTCGGAACTGTTTCCATGCCTCTAGCATGAAGGAGAATTGTTCTTTCCATTGGTTAGGAAAGAAGGCCTCAATAACATTGGTTAATATGTTCCCTTCAAAGCCAAGAGGAATGGCAAGCTTCTTCCACTCATCTAGACCGAGAGGTGTAGCTATGCGCGAGGAAATGTCATCGTCTAACACTGAAGAAAAACAGATGAAGCGAGATAGAGACTCGTTGGAACAGACATTCCATCTATGTCTTAAACGGTCATACCTGAAAAGATCTGCAAGATAAATACTTATTATTTTACGATTTAGAGCGAATCGTCTCGCTCAGGACTGTTTCCAATAGTTGAAAGAAATTAAGACAACTGAAACAAATAAATTGGTAAGCATGTATTTCTAATAATGTTTGCTGCCTGGTGTCTGTGGGTCAGAGATGACAGCATTTGTGGTCAGTTGCTGTGATTTAAATGTACTTGGTTGATCAACTGATATGCTAATTGATGGTCGACCAGAGGTATGCGAACAATCTGTAATAAAACAGGACTTCATCATGCTACATGTACGTTCAGAAAAAGCAAATACTCAAGCTTGAGTAAAAATGTTTAAATATCACGTGTAGGCCTAACAGGTTTTTAAAGTTATCAGGTAGCTTCAGTGCAGTGGGCAGACACTGAAAAAGTAACACATCAAAATGTCGACGTTACTTCCTGATTTGCAAAAAGAAAATTTTGAGAAATGAACGGCATATGATCTTTAGGTGTTCTTAACAAACTCTATAAGCTACCTTTGACTAGTGCTATGCTTGGCATTGCTTTTGTTTTTATCGCTATTTTAACAATGAATACTACATTTGTACAGTTAAAAACAAACGTACGTCATGTTTCATTGGATTTTCTGAGAAAGGAGGTCGTACATTGAAGAGTTTAAATAATGACACCTTGTCAGGGTAGGGCAATATTAGATATGTTTTATCGTTATGATATCGATACATATTGCGTTTGCACGATTAAAAAAAGTAATTTTACGTTTCTTCGGCAATTCAGAGCAATGAATATGTTCTAAGAATTCGACTCCATGGGTAGACAGTGTGCGCGACCCTTCACAGGGATCAGCATGGCATGGCAGGATTGTACCCATGGGAATGAGGTTGCGTCATCGGACCTTTCTCGTGACAGTGGGCATGTGCATTTTGTTATTCATCACGTAAAGGGGTGTGCTATTTGGAGTTTTGAACGTAAATGGGGGGTTATCATTGCTGGGCTGCATTCAAAATGCCGAAGCGTAAGGAAACCATCAAGAGAGAGGAACCAAAAATAATGTGTGCCCGGTTCAGGAAGTAGTGAGAAACTGGTCAGAGAGAGGTAATCGGTACTTGCCTCTAGCTAATTGTTATAGGGAATCGGAAGCAGGCACAAGCAATCTATTGATATCTGGGGTTACCTCAAGAAGTCTCTTGATTGCGGAGTGCTGTAAGGAATGCCGGTTTCGGATTAAAGATTGAGCAGGCGTGGGGTGCGGATTATTTCAAATGTTCCTGTACATGTATATGTACTATGCTTGTTAGCCCTTTAGAGAGAGCACGAATGTGCCAATGACATCAAATTTTATCAGTAGTCTAAACGTACCAATACATTCCCAAAATGTGTCCATTTTTCTTGGAAATGGGTACTGGTCGGGAGAACATGATCCGCCCCGAAAATTTGGTTCTGGATCCATTCATAAGTTTACCTTGAGTAGTGTCGCGAGTCTGATGCTCAGCTTTGGCTCCTAGCTCCTGATCAGCTTTCTGGTGACTAAGAACACTTCTTTGCTCTAGTGACGAGTAAGGGATATCTGAACTCAAAAACTGCTCCAGAGTCAGACACAGCTGAGGCTCAGCTGATGCCATCGTCTCTGTCTCGCGCTCGTGATCTTTCAGCTGAAATCGAGTATCAAACCTGTATGACTCTTTTTCATTTTGTTCATGTCGGTATCGTAGCTCAGTCATCCCCTGTTGAGAGCTTGATGCTGTATCGTCTCTTGCAGGTGTTAGTCTTGACTTGCGCCCGCCTTTTGTCCAAGCTCCTGTTTCAAATCGAGCAAGGTCGAGGTGCCTGGTGTGAAGCTCACTTCTCTGATGTTTGTTGTATTTTCACCCACTGGTTCCTGTTCTTTGAGTGGCCCTATAATGAGGTTGTTTGGGTTCCATTCCCCGGCGTCTACAGTACTTCGCAACTTCGCTTGAGATGAGGCCAGTCCGGCTCAACCTGCTCCTGTTCAGGGTCTAGTTGACAAGTAGACGCCATCGCCCCCTCCCCACTGATTTGTCAGTTTGTATGAATGCAATTTTCGCTTGAAGCGATTCACGATACAACTCTTTTTATTTTAGAAGCTTTTTTATATATCAGACTTCGATTTTAATCTTTTGATGGCAATGTGCCTTGTCCTGAGGTCTGTTCTACGGTTCATGATCTTTAGTCTCGCTCTTTCTCTTGCTGTTTCCTCACGTTGTCTTCCAGCTCGTCAGGTTGGCTTGTGTAATCACGCACCGCCATGTTTGTGAAACCTGTAAAAAGTACAGAGTGTTTATCATTCAACTGACGTTTTCTTTTCTGCGTGCATATAGCACCGCAGTGGGAAAAGTAGACATGGGCTCAACTGTCTTTAAAAAATGGGCGCTACAAAGGTTACTCTAAAAATCCTTAAGGCTTCACTCCTGTAAAAAAAAATGTACTGCGACGAAAACGTGTAAAAGATGGATTCCGTAATTCGCATCCAGCTGGAACACTACACATTCTCTAATACACGTCAAGTTGGATTTTGATTTACACGAGTCGTTTACCTTTTAGTCAAGTTAGAGTAGACATTAACACTTACAGGGTGAAAACATTTGTTCAAAATGGTCCACCTCTAATACTGCAGGAGCACGTCGCCATTTTGAAGAAAATAAGCTCCCTAATTCACTGCAATTTAGGTGACTCCTTCAATTCATCCCAGCATCTTAGGCTTCTTGCAGATGACATCATGTACGGTGCAGGACACATTTCTTAGCAAATGGCTATCATATGATTGGGCCACGAAACCCTCCATGCAGAGAACCAAATGCGCAATATACTCAATATAGTTTTCGAATATATATTCTGCATGTGAATCAGGTCTTTCTATGGTTAGTATTGCTGACGTTATTGGATTGAACTATGTATGTTTATAACTATGAATGTTAACTGCGCAGTTTGTATTGACACTTACCAAGGCAATAGCAAATATCATACGATATGTTTCATGGTTTAAGATTTATTTGTCGTACTACGCACTGTGTTGGTACGCCAAGAAGAGCTGCTTTCGTTTTTTAAATGGCGCCGCCCATGGTTAGCATATAAATACATCGGGAAGAAAAACGGTTTGGGAAAGCTTTAGGGGGCTCATTTAAAAGTCCAGACTCTGAGGATAGGAATACGCCGGTGTGGGCCCTCAGTGAAATAGTCAAATCGTTCTCATTTCGGAAGATATTAGGATTCAAAGTTTGTGACAATCCTGCAGTTGGGATTTCAGGCATTTAAGACATGCCTTGGAGTAGGGCTGTGGCGGCGAGAGACAAAAGACAGGTTGTAAAAGAGAGCCACTACAGCCCCACGTGTGTGGCTAGGGGCAAAGCAGAGAAAGATATTATTGAAAAATTGTCAAAAGAGCCCGAGAAATGCGAGGGATTTCATCTGAAAAATGCCCGGACTTGGAAAGTTCACTTGTGAGGATGAGTTTGTTTGGGGCGTTTAAAGATTCATTAAATAACAGACTAAAATTTGAAAATTAAATGAAATCTGAAGGGCCCCAAAACACTTTGTTTTGTTTGAGAGGCCTCAGGGACTTCAGTTGTCCGGAATGGGGCTACAAACAAATCTCTTTTCAATGGAGCTAGTTGAATTAGTTTGGTGCACCCTACCGTGACGGACGGCACATGACGGTGTGGCCCTTACTGACACAGCTCAGTCCACTGGTCAAGGTTTCATTGCTTTAAGGGAAACAGAAAAAAACAGCTGCCGCTAGATTTTTACGTCTGCATCCCCAAGGCAAAATAAATCACCATCCTTTTGACCTCAGTTTGAGCAGCAGTAAATGCGCCTAGTAACCATGCTGAACGTCTCACGATCCATGGGTTATAGGGTCCTCAGGGTGCAGACCACTAATTCAAGTGAGAATTTCTGGCCAGCTCATCAACATTAAAAGTGCCCCCACAGTATCTTTTGAAAAAGGAGATTGTTTGGCCCCCAAAATGGTGAGATTGTGTAAATCGTTGACAGGATCAACTCCCTGGGTCTTTGAGCTTTCATATGAGAGCAGAAGGGCTAAACACTACGGTTGAAAAATGGTTTTAAGTGCCCCAGAAAGTTGAGGGTTGCCACTTGAAAAATAGCTGCAATCAGACTTTGGAAAAATCACTTTTTGGGGGGTGATTTTGTTTTGTGGTAATAATTAAAAATGTAATAGGTTAACCCACAAAAAAATCGAAAAGAAATTGAAAGATAAGCTACCAGACAAGAATTGAATTTGTATTTCAGAAATCTCAGGGATGTAGGCGTGCATGCTATTGGGCCATGAACAGTGCTGGTTTTACACTGTTTTCAATGGGGCTTGAATTAGTGGACTGGACCCTTCAAAGACGATTCGCCATTTTCTTTCCTGTGCAAATGGGCGAAGTGAAAAAACAGCAAGTCGGTATTTGACCCGGGGAGAGCAGGGTCACAAGAAATACTTCCATGACTTCCCTTTTCCTTCATTTTTCAGTCCTTTCCCACACATTCATTTTATGTACAGCAAGATTAAATTCCAATGTTGGTATTCAATGTAGTCTTTACAGTTATAAAGCACTCTCAATTTGCAACTTCCGATTTTACCTCAAATTTGTTCAAAATATTTAGTATTAGTAGTAGTAGTAATAATAGTAGTATTTAACCACTCGTAGGTGTGGTGTTTTGATAGATGTGAAGTATTTTTACTTTTTTGTAAATTTTATTTTTAAATGTTTGTACCGACAACCAACTGTATACATGTAGTTTTAGCAGCCACTTTGCAAGGAAAGCGCGACTGTGACTTCAATAGAGTAGAAGTCTGTTCGAATATACATGTACAAACAAATCCCCATAGGCGGGCCTTAATTGATTGCTCGTGAAACGAGGGTTCAGCGTGTAGAAGCTTCCTGCGAGACTGGCTCTACACACCATGCGGTCCACTGCTCTACAGCGCTCACATTGAACGTATAAGTCAAGCTACGTGACACACAAAGAGCACTGCTGTTCATTATGAGGGGAGATAAGTCAAGTCAAAACCACTCACCAGTCGTCAATTGTCCACACTCTCTCATCCACAAGATTCCTCCATCAAAACCAGGCCGCTGCCATCGAACAGCCTTTTTTTTTATTAAGGGTGTGCCTTTGCTTGCAGGGTGAGATTCAGAAAGTTGCTTAACGCCATGCTTATACGCGGATACGATACGCAGTATCGTCTGCGGCCTTTGGGTTCCACGGCCGCAGCTCTCATCAGTTACCTACTCAGGCTGGCAAGGATATGCGCACCCGAAAAATCAGTGATAACTGATTATCGATTGCCAAGCAACTAAGTTATTCTTCCAGTCTACTGAAACCAAACAACAGTAATTCATGTAACTTCCCAACGCCAAAAGATACGTCTTGAAAACAAACAACACTAACATATCGTCCCACTAATCGTTGGACTTCATTCTGTTTTAATGAGGTTCACTGCTGTGGTGAGACCAGAGTGTTAGACTTACTTCCAACCGATCGAGGCTGCTGCTTGTATTCTAACAGACTGCTTTGGAATGCAAGGTCACCTAAGTCGCTTATTTCGTGGAACGATTGATACGCACCATAATGCGTCCCCGTGGTTTTGCGGTGACCACCTTCATATGCGTGATCGGACGTATGAGGAGTCACGGTCGGACTTCAACTCTCTAAATCGGAAAGAGTGAAATTGGGGACAAGACGTTTAAGAGTGAAAATCACTCTGAATTTTGACTGAAAAAGGCTGAAAATAGCCCCTTCCAGTGGAAGTTCGAGTGACATTTCAGTCTTTTGAAGTGAAAAAACTTCACTCCAATTCGTCTATCTGAGGGATTGAATTTTCACTCAAATGGAGTGAATGTTCACTCTTTGGAATTTAGAGAGTACGCACCCTTCGTGACGAGCAAGGAAACGATCACGGTTCAATAAACTTTCAAAAATAAAAAAAAAAAAAACAATCTATGGACGTTGCTGATTGTGTATGCATTGTGAATTAAATGGGCTCCAATTATTTCTTCCAAGTTTGCGTACGTACGTGAATCTAAATTCAATTTTTCTGATCCGGACTTTATGTATTATCAGAATAACCGTTATAGCACTGCCTGGGATGGCTTTGTGAGTGAGATCTTAACTGTAATACGTGAACATGTGCTATAGTTTCGTTTGCAGCAAACAACCCGAGTCAGACAACATTACGGTCAGATGTGTCGTATATTATTATATCTGATACGTATGTGTTTTAACAGCTCCGTTATGTAATTGGTGCAGGCCCTGGTGTAACCATTTTATTTGCAGCACCAAATATTCTGATTGAAAAATATCGTTTTACGAACCACTATAACCCACAACGAAGTTCAAATGGAAGTTTATTTTGGCTTGATTTTTTGTTATAATATGACTTGTAGTGACCTTTAACCCCAAGGGTCTTAAAACTGCGCGCAAAGGAAGCTGTGCGCTCAAACTGCAAGGCCCTACTGCAGCCATTTCTACTCACGACATGTGAATACATATCACAAGAATTTACTCTCATTTTTTTCTTACTTTCGCTTGTTTTTCCCATCAGATGATTAAACACGATTGCAGTATACATGTCAGCTTCATTCATTCCGTTTCCAGTTTCCATTCCGTTAAAGGAATTAGGCCTACCGCGTGCTCCGCTGTGAGACGTCAGGTTTTGAAGTAATTGACGACAAACTGACGTAGCCCAGACTCGTCGACGCCGTTGAGCGACCCGACAGGTTGTTGCTTGTGCCGGGAAGCTGTACTGGACACTGTTGGCTAGGCCAGACCATAGCCAGCTTTATCGCTGGAACCTATGCAGTCTCTTGATGACAGACAGAGCATACTGTCCGAAACGTAATTACAACCACAAAATAATCAGAAAGAGATTCTTCGTGTTCTTGCATTGTACAACTGCAAACCGTATATAATAACTCACTTGATGTATGCAGTACAGTAGGCCATTTACAGTTTATAGGCCTATGAAAAAAAAACTTGGGTCCCGTTGTCTGAAGCATATTCTACCATTTTCAATATACAGTACGTTCCTAAAAAAACTAACCGAAGTTCAAAGGTCAGCCATGTCAAGAATACATGGTTTATTCTTGTGAAATGTTTACTACAATACGAAGTAACTCATCAGCTTTAATTTGACACCTTGCTTGCGTCAGGGGCCTTCGAAGGTGAAGGGTTTGTAAGGTTTCATCGTTTGTTAGCATTTCAACATTATCGTTTGTTGTCTGTTAACATTTTGCAAGTGACAGTAATTTACAATCTGGTGAGCACATCATTTAGCCCTTATGCACCAACACCTTCAGCGAGTCCACCCGTCCCCTGTCGACACAAAGCTGTGAACCGACGCTGCATGCCTCGCACTGCTCTTCTAACCATCGCACCATGACGAAGAACAGGCATTGATCTCATGCCAAATACACTCCTGCAAGTCGTCCAGATCACGTGGTGGAGATGTGTATATCCTGCTCTTTAGGTATCCCCAGAGGAAAAAGTCACAGGGTATCAAGTCAGGAGATTGTGGAGGCCATTCTACCTCATGATTGATGTCTATTATGCGTTGGCCAAATAGCTAAAACTAAGGACCCTAACTCTGTGATCCGTGACAATAATGACGCAAGCTAGCAAGGTGTCAAATTAAAGCTGATGAGTTACTTCGTATTATAATAAGAATAAACCATGTACTCTTGACATAGCTGACCTTTGAACTTCGGTTACCTTTTCAGGAACACACTATACAAATAATCTAGCCGGGAAGAAAACAAAATGAGAGCAAGCAGAACCTAGATTGAATGACTCAACGTTTTCCATAGTGTATGATGATGGTTCTCTTACTATCCCTTAAATGTTTACCCCTTGCACTGTGCTTGTTTTTTCTGCTCTCGTCAATAAAAACCTGGTCGTCAAAACTACAGAGCGCAAATTATTTTGTTTTCTGTTCTGTATTTTGCTTCAATTTGAACTTGATGTAGGCCTACAGAAAAAGCAACAAAACGCACCTTTTTAAATCCCCACCATCAAGACAACATGGCCGCTACCATTCTCTGGACATATAGAGTGCACCAATACAAATAAATTCCCATAGACAGCAGTGATAAATCCCCATACTTCACAAATATGTTAAAAATACCCACAACTCTCACAGGTGTTCAGGCTGCACATAAATATGACGTTCCGCGTGTCCTCTTTCATTTCCCCTCCTATTTTTTGTGGGTTGACTCATGATTTTTTGAGAAATTCTCACCCAAAGCAGACAACCGCTAAAATGAAGGAAATTTTAATGCCCGGGAAAATAGCCTTCTGCAAAAAGGCTCAAATAGTGCTACTTTCGGACCCGATTGCATCCAAAGTACTCAGAATTGGAAGCCCTAAGTCCAGCCCAGAGGTTCGGTGTCATTCTTCAATTCCCCAGTTCCATGGCTCTCAGGATATTTTGAGTGTATAACTTTTATTCGTGAGCTCAATGGACATATTTCTGGCCTAAATACGAGGGTGCACCCATAAAACTGGTTGCTTGAAGCTAGTGCTCACTACAATTAACCCTGGGGTTAAAAAAATACGAGGTTCCATCGGGACAGATCATAGAAGTAATTATATAAGTCACCAATTTGTGGCCTGTAGCTTCGAACTCGGGGCATTTTGCTAACTAAAACCTAAAACTTGTGGACCCGGCTATTTTGCACAGAGGGGACCATTATATACATGTACATGTATATATACATGTACATGGTCTGACTAAATGTGGCTAACCCTTTTGAAGTTCAGAAGAAAACTGCAATTGGCTTAAACTTCAGATGGCCAGAATTGAAGTATAACTTTTTGAGTTTTATAATAAACGTACTCTTTCCTATTCTTAAGTGGAGAGAATTTGGAGTCAAAACCAATCATAAAACAACGAAATTTTAGAATTTTCTTATTAAGAAAAAGAAACATCTGGTAGAGTGAACAGATATATCCACGGCGGGAAAGTTGGGTGCATATTGTACAATGAGTGTAAATAGATTCAGAGGAGGATGAAGTTTGCGGGCTGGGATGTGTGGTATTTTTCCTCTTTTTTTCCAGCCAAATAATTTCATACTCTCAGAAACACTTGATCACCCCTGCAATATCGTATCTATTTTTTTTCTTTGCATTTATTTTTCCTGCATTCCCCAGACACATCAGCCAGAAGTCACAATTATACGATTATTACGATGTTTGATACGCTTCAGGTGGTCAAATTTCATTGTGTCGCCAATCATCTCATCTTTTCCTCATTCCTCAAGTTCCTCATTTCTCCAGCTTCCTTATTACATGTCACATCATCACATCAAGCTCTCTGGTGATATGGTCTTTGAATGAGGCAATAATCAACTAAACAGTGCATATAATCAGATAAATTATGCCGAAATAGAGGGGCGATATAATTGATGACACACAGACCAATTGATTTCCGTGTGTAGCACACTTTGTACATGCAATTATATTCCATGTTGTTGTACAACTTCACTTTATAGCAGGTGGAAAATACCTCCCTTAGAACAAAGTCGCTGTATAAGCACTTGCAACTTACACGTGAGCCCACCACAGTGTGCCCTGTTCTCATTTGAACAGGCATCCCCGGGCCGAACATTCCCCAGGGCTGCCCCGGGGTCAACCTCCCCCCCATTTTTTCACCCCCCAGTTCACCCCCGAGTCGTTTCTCACTATTCTTCTCAACCCCCTTTTAGGGTGCCGACCACTTATTCAAGTGAGAGTTTCTGGCCAGCTCATCAACATTAAAAGTGCCCCCACAGTATCTTTTGAAAAAGGAGATTGTTTGGCCCCCAAAATTGTGACGTTCAATGTGTGTGTAAATCCTTGCCAAGATCAACTCCCTGGGTCTTTGAGCTTTATGAGAGCAGAAGGGCTAAAAACTGCGGTTGGAAAATGCTCCTAAGTGCCCGAGAAAGTTGAGGGTTGCCACTTAATTTAAAAACGGCTGCAATCAGACTTCGGAAAAATCACTTTGGGGGGGTGGTTTTGTTTTGTGGGAATGATTAAAAATGTAATTGTTTAACCCACAAAAAATTGAAAAGAAATTGAAAAATAAGTGACCAGACAAGAATATCATTGGGGTTTCAGAAATCTCAGGGATGTTGGCGTGCATGTTATTGGGCCCTGAACAGTGCTGATTTTACACTGTTTTCAATGGGGCTTGAATTAGTGGACTGTACCCTTAATTTGTCTCGCCCCGGGGTGGTCCTTTCTCACTTGAAACGGCGCGAGTACAGTGAGTTTATCGCGAGGTGCGCTGGCGTGCTTTTTGCATTACCCAGAAATCTCCCTCGAAAGCGTGCGACGATTTTCCCACAATGCATTGTCAATAACAAGCATGGCGTCTACTGGTTATGATACAGGCGGCAATGTCACGCTCGAAGCGACATGTGTTTTTCTGTTTCATTCCTTAGTTGTCAGAAGCCGAAATCGACGAGAAAATGATGTGAGACAAGTTATTCAGCGTCAACACTCAGTTTTGCCGATGATGATTCGTCGTCGGCGAAATTTTCGCTTAGTGTTTGCATTGGCATTCTCGCCCCGGCACGAACTCACCCCTGCTCATTTCCCACTACCCTTTTAGCCTCGGGGCAAGCGACCAACCCCGGGGATAGCAGTTTCAACCCTGGTCCCGTGTAGGGTTGAACTCGCCCCGGGGATGAGCAATCTCGGGGGTGGCGCGGGGTTGAGAATTTCAAGTGGGAATCGAGGCTTATTTTCACCCCCTTGTCGCCCCGGGGTTACCCCCGTGATTTCGCCTAGTGAGAAAAGGCCTCTTTACTCCATGGTCTTCGGTAGACTCATCGGAGTCAAGAAATCCTACCAACCTAGCCAAGGTTTGCAGCCAACTTCTGGAAACTGTTCTTAGGATAGAGTCATTTTGAGTAATGTCGATTGCGAAGAAATAGAGGGTGATATGAATTGCTACCTATTGCTGTGGCATAAACCAGTCTGTTTTCAAGATGTTGGGCCAATCAGTCAAACAAAAAAGCAGTTGATTTTCCCTTCACACCCTCTATTTCACTCCCGTACTTTTTAAAATTTGTCCTCCAAAAGTCCATATTTGGCTTGAAACATTATCAAAGTGACAAGACAGTTTTTTCTTCAAATTTTAGGAAGTCTGGTACCCAGACCCATGCGGGTCAATGCTTATGACACAGAGAGCTTTGCTTTGAGGGCAGAAGCTAGCTATATACATGCCTTTTGATGTACAAGCTGAGGCTACTCAGACACATCAGATTTCAGTCTTCAATTTCGGGTGCGAGTCTTTTTCTCCAAAGATTCAACAATATCAATTCCATCACAACTTTTCCAAAAACAGGTCATTATATGCATTTTTTATTCAAAGTTAAATAATACCATCATGTCCCAGAGTTTCTTGTTACATGTAGTTGGTGCATGATTCTATGGACACTGACATGCATTTCACGTGTCCTTAAATAGTTAACCAAATCCATGTGACACAAAATTCAGTGGCATCACTGCCCACAGAGGAAGATCAAATTACTTTGACAGTAAAGGAAGTACTCATTAATGGATTGTGTTTTGTTTTTCAGGAGTGCGGTGGATCCAGTACTTTCAATCACAGCTCCTTTACACTCAAGTACAAACTAGACAACAAGTTTGAAGTCATTTTTGAGGTGAGTGTGGACTTTTGTTGACTTCCAGCAAGCCGCCCTCTTTATTCTTGCCTCTGTTTTACCTTTTCAAATCTACATTTGTATTGATTTGTTCCATTTACATCTGTTTTCTTTCTTCGCCATTAACATATGGGAACTCCTTCCAAAGGTCTCAGGAAAACCTTTAAATAGTAGGCTGGATGTCTCACATTTCCAAGTTTTCAAGGACCTGTGTTTTTTTCAAGATTTTTCCTAATGTCAGGATTTTGTTTGTCATTGTCACTGTTGATCCTTGCATGGCTGGTGGAGTTTTTGTCATCTTCCATTCGCAACCCCGGATATTCCGTCTTTTTTGGACATATTAAAAGTAACCTTGAATCTCAAAATGGTGTGGATGTTATGTTTTTTTTTTTTTAATGCGTGAATTTGATGTTACATTTTTGATACTTTTTAGTGGTTTGCTAAGACTTCGCACACACGGTAGATCACACAGTTTTTCAACAAAGTAGCGCAGAACCCCCCAAAATGTACACGGGTTGAATTTTTCCAAAGGAAGGACGATGTGTACTGTCGTATATTCATGGATAAACTTGAAAAAATTTTGTTTTTTACAGCTAAAGAAAAATCCAAACAAAAAGTACATGTAGAGCAAATAGTAACTGTATTTGATTTCTTGTTGATACATGTAAATATAACGACTGCTTAGGGCTTATACCGGTTGCTAGCTCTGTAAACACAATAATTTTTATAATGCTTTATAACTGTAAAGACGACATTGGATACCAACATTGGAATTTAATCTTGCTGTACATAAAATAAACGTGTGGGAAACGACTGACAAATGAAGGAAAAGGGAAGTCATGGAAGTATTTCTTGTGACCCTGCTCTCCCCGGGTCAAATACCGACTTGCTGTTTTTTCACTTCGCCCATTTGCACAGGAAAGAAAATGGCGAATTGTCTTTGAATGGTCCAGTCCACTAATTCAAGCCCCATTGAAAACAGTGTAAAATCACCATTCTTCAGAGCTCAATAACATGCAAGCCAACATCCCTGAGGTGTCTCACACAAAAATTTAATTATTATTCAGTCATTAATCTTTCATTTTTTTTTCAATTTTCGGGGGGTTAACCAATTACATTTTTAATTATTCACCCAAAACAAAACCAACCCCCCAAAAGTCGAAGTTCCTAAGTCAGCACGCAGCCATTTTTCAAATGGCAACCCTCTACTTTCTCGGTCCTTTGGGAACATTTTTCAACCGTATTTTTTATCCCTTCCACCCTCAGATGGAAGCCCAAAGAACCAGGGACTTGATCCTAGCAACGATTTACACAATCTCATCATTTTGGGGGCCAAACAATCCCCTTTTTCGAAAGATACTGTGGGGGCACTTTTAATGCTAATGAGCCTGGCGGAAATTATTGCTTGATTAGTGGACTGCACCCTTTATATACACCCATTTTGAAGGACCGCTCAGAAAATGAACTTTAAATGGTTAAGGATAAAGTGTAAACCTCAATTCTAAGGACAAAATGAAAAAAAAAATTAATCCATTGGCAATCTGGGGGGTCAAATGTTCAAGGTTAGCCTATAGCATTCTGCACAGTCTGAAACCAGCAAGACTACCTTTTCTTACTAGTCTGCATTATCTTCAGAAATGTATTGGCATCTTAAAGCTCTTTTTTGGACGAATGCAGGAGGGCTAGTGGGCTTGGTGGCAGGGTATATGTTTTAGTTGGTGTATTGTTTACACTCTACACAGTTAGTTAATTATTTAATCATTTCGCTTTCAATTCTAGGGCATCATTGGCCAGGGTTCAATTTGAAAAGCAAATATCTGTAATGCTTTAGATCTAGAGAAGATTCTTCAGTCATTATCTGCATGGCCAATGAAAGTTTTACTCAAAAAGGCTTCACTGGAATACCCCCCCCCACACCCAAGTGTGTATTTGCCTGCAATTGGGGACCCCTATTGTTCCTTTTTTGTTAGAACTTTTTTAGAAGACCACCAATATGCTTTGTACATACATGTAGTTGTCAATCGGGGACCANCTGTTACTATTACAATCTTGCAACTTAGGATCCGTTTAAAGCAATTAATGGCTAAGAATCTCCACACTGAAATGTGACCCTGACAACACACAGAAACAATGAGGTAACTGCCCCCATGGGATAGCAGCCTTTCCAAGTGGCATACTTATAAGGACACACACAGGCACAGAGTGACGTATCATGTGACCTTCAATTGGAAACTTCAATTGACTAGGCAACCAATTCAAACAAATACCCATCACCATGCATAAAAATCAATATAAGTGACATATCAGTTATTGGATGACCATATTATTTCCAGCAACAAAGAGAAAAGCACTGATCAAGATATTTCATTGTACAATGGGTCGAGTTAGACGTGGAATTTTCAAGAAGAAAAAAACTTGGTTTCAAGCAAACCACCAGCTGTCTCCAAAAAAGATGCAAGCTGCAGCTCAAGAAATGGAACTGCCACAGTATGTTCGACCAACATATGAGCAACTTGAACTGGCTGTTCCTAGAGACGAGCAAGGATTTCTCAGGCAGGTGCTTCCAACAGCAGAGACCAAGAGCAGAAATGTGATGTTACTCCGCCCAAAAGCTGCAGAAATGACTCCAGTTGACAAGCTCCAGCTCAAGGGTGGAAAACCAAAGCACTCCCAGCCCAAGAGTGGAGCAAATCACCAAGGAGGATACCGTTTTGTGAACATTCAGTCCGCAGTACAGCTAGGTGCAGATGCTACACTCGACCATCAAAGATCACACCCCGAGTGTGACGGTGTTCCAGAACTATTGCTGGAGGATGAGGAATGCAGAGGTTTGGCTGTATCTGAAACAATGCACTGCCAAAAGTGCGGATTTACAACACAACGCCAAAAACTATACACAGAAATACCTCACCATGGACCTGGACGCCGCACTGCTACTCCGAACATGGCATTTCAAGTGGGGCTCTACAACACTGGCATCGCAGCGACAGGTGCAAGGAGGCTCTTGACAGCTATGAACACATCTATTCCCTCACGCAGTGGACTGCAAAAGATTTCAGGAAAGTGTGGTGAAATAATGACTCAGGAGAACGAAAAGGACATGGCTGCAAAGAGGAAAATTGTGAAAGACATTCACGAGATTCAAGGG